CAGAAGGCGACTCATCCTCAAAATTAATTTAGAGCATTATAAGCACTGTTAACGGCAACTTGTAAAATGATCCAGTCATCCAATCCAATTTGATTTATTTAAAATATACGTTGTCAATGTGTTTGATTATATTTGTTAAGGTTTTAGCATATCATAAATGTTTTTGAATGTCCTGACTGATGTTTACATTTTTAGATTTGATTGCAATCGTTTATCTCATCTCTTGTTTCTCTCCCACACTAAAAAAGTAAAGACCTTTTTGAACTTTAAAGCATGGCGACATGTCCCAGTTGAGGCACAAAATACAAAAATAAAATGTAATTAACTTTGCATTAAAGGTGGGGTAGGTAAGTTTGAGAAACCGGCTCGAGATACACTTTTTGTTATATTCCATGGAATGCTCTTAACATCCCGATAGCAATGAATATCTTAAGTGTCTTAAATGTCATCTGTGGAAGCCGTAGTGCTGTAAAAAGCACGACCAATCATTTTAGCCGGCCCGGCTAAAATAACTGGATGGCCTACCTGCCTGTCAAACTTATCTCGTGCCCTCATTGGTCATGTGTGCGTTCGTGTGTGTTGGAGGAGGGGCTCTGTAAGGAAGTGGCAGATTTTTTCCGGTTGTGTATTTTCAAATTCTAGCGATCTCGAGCCGGTTTCTCAAACTTACTACCCCACCTTTAAATGTATTAATAAACAGCTGTTACCTGTCACAAACCAGCTGTAGTCTCCCCAGGTCCACGATGAGATGTTTTCAGCTCGTGGGCTACAGAGACACAAACACACACACACACACTTGAGTTTAATCACATACTTATGTATATATAATAACCTGCTTTATATTTTGTTTTTGTTATTGTTAATTTGTAAATTCAACATGTATATTTTCTACTTTTTTGATTATTTCTAGACTTTTTATTTTTTGTTCAGAATCAGAATCAGAATACCTTTGTTAGTCCCACAGAGGGGACATTTACATTGTTACAGCAGAAAAGAGCCAAAGACAGCTTAATGTTACCTAGAAGCATGCATAATGCCATGTCTTTTGTGCTGCTGCAATACAAACATTTCCCAAATTGGGATCAATAAAGTACCTCCTATCCTATCCTATCCTATCCTATCCTATCCTATCCTATCCTATCCTATCCTATCCTATCCTATCCTATCCTATCAGCTGACAGTAAGGAACCTGAACCAGGTGTCCTCTCACCTGAAGTCTGCCTCCTGCTCCGTCGTCCCGATAACAAACGGGACGTCGTTGTAGTTTCCTTTCTTCTTCTCCCACACCTCGAAGGGAGGAGCCTCCAACACGTATCCGTCCACCACCGCCACGGGGCCCACGAACTGTCCTCTGAGGGGGAGGTCCATCACCTCGTCTGCAGCCCAGGACGGGAACTCCTGCCATGGGATGGCCTGGGGAGGAGCGGGGGAGTTGACTTTTAAAGGATGTCCCCAAAACCCCTTTTTAAATCACTCGTAAAAATCGAATCTCTATATTAAAGGTCCCCTATTAGCCTATACTGTTTTTCATCAATATATAATAGGTTGACTTTTACAAACTGTTTTTGGTGACATCATTTAAAGATCTCCTATCATGCTATTTTTAGGCATATATTATGGGTTGCAGATATATACAAATATATAAAAAAACATGTCTATGAAGTGTTTTGCTCCAAATACCAAACAGATCATGCATTTTAGACATCCCTCATACCCCTCTATTTCAGCCCTGTTAGAGAACTGCTGATTCTGGGTCCTTAGCTTTAAAAAAAAGAAGCGGGATAAAACACCATATCATGTTCAAAACCACATCAAGGATAGTGATATTGAACAGGATGTGCAGAGTTGGTACCTTCAGGACGTCGGCGATGGGGAGGCGTCTCAGGCAGCTCAGATCACTGCAGCCCGTCCTCTGCAGGAACAGCAGGTTGTCGGACTCGGCTTGTTCCAGCGTGGCGTTGTAGACGTACGAGCCGCTCATATCCACCGCCGCCCGAAACAGACCCTTCGCCAGCGGAGACATCATCATGGTCCACACCGACGTCCCACCTTACACACAATAACATACATACAGTAGGTGTTTAATACAAACAAAAGAGACAAATATTACATTTTATAATAGACACATCTCAGATCATACTAAACTGTCCCTGTCCCGTTCTCTTCTCTAGCCACAAAGAGAGCTGCAGGAATTGATCCTTTACCGGTAATGAGTCAGCAGTTTATCACTTCCTGTCCCCTGGTCTGGAAGTCAATGGTTTTCTGAATGTGTTTTTGGTTGTTAGCCTGAAATAAGCTCTGTGGTTAACACAAGCTGAAGACATTTTAATTTTCAGACATAAAACACATCAGTCAATACTCCACTGGTGAATTAAAAAATGGTGGTTGCTAAACGTTATCACGCCCAACATTAGCCGCCTTTAGCTTAGCGGTGGTGACATGAAGTCATGTGACCGTGCTGTAGCCTAGTTCCTTTATAGCCTAACATTAGCTTTTTAATTCAAAAATCATAAAGTGGTGTTAATATGTGGAGATTATCCTGCTGAACAAAACGTATAAGTATCATAAACATTTGTTTGACACAGAGATGATTTTCTGCAATAATTCTATCACATGGAGGAATCTGATTGGACCAGGGAGGTGCTGCCTTCAGGGTCGGCCTACTTTGTGTCAAATTCACTTTCTGTAATATGAGCAACACGTTTAGGACAAATGCTCAATCAAATCAAAACGTTGCTTTACTGGTCACACATTATGTAAACTTAAAAAAACTAACTGTTTTCACACCTGAGCTCTGTCCGAATATGGTGACTTTCTCAGGATCTCCTCCGAACACGTGGATGTTTTCCTGGACCCACTTCAGAGCTGCGATCTGGTCCATGAAGCCGTAGTTCCCTGAGGAAGATGGACGAAGAAGAGGGGTCCATTAGCAGCAGAAAAAACAACCAGATTTGATGTGGCCTTATTTCAGGCGTCCAGAAACAACCAGCTCAAACCAAAGATAACTCTTCTCAAGCCTAGGGAGCGAGGAAATGGGCCATGGTGTCAGGAGTACTCAAATTAATAATGTCTTTCACAGCAGGCGTGTTTGATTATGTAACAGAAATCCCCCAACACAAGGATGCAAATATTACAAAAATAAATCCTCTGACTCACATTAACACTGGGTAAATATGCACATCTTAATAGGAATGTAAATATTTCTTTTAGCATCCAATCAGACTGGTACAAAAAAGTCAATACAATTAATATTGCATCAGTCGAGAGGTAAACGGCTTGTTACCATTGAAACCTCTTTAATGCTTTGTAGAAGTTGGATATAAGCTGTTTAAATACTTCTAAAGCTGCAAAACCATTTCAAATGAGTGTGTTCCCTTTCTTGTTGTGCATTATATAGGTTTTTGGTGCATGTAAATGGTCTACAAAGGCTAAAATCCCTGTGTTCCCTCCACACACTTTCCCCCCCTGCCTGAAAGGGCTCCTTTGTTTACTTCCAGAATGTAATGACATCAATATTTGTATCTCTAGCTTCTATTGGCTAGCACTCAAACACATTGTACGTGATAGGCTAAGGGGCGGGACATCTCTAAGCGGTTGACCAAACACAACAGAGCCGGCCAGCTAACAGAGCAGACTGGGCAGAGCAGACTGGGCTCTGGTTTCAGACAGAGGGTGAAAAGAGGTGCTGCAGCACAGGCAGTATGAGACAAATAAAGAGCTTTCTGAACATTAAAGCATGGAGAGATGTCACAGGAGAGACACTAAATATATGTGTGTATGTAAACTTATATATACACTGTATGTGTAGGAGCCAAAATGCTTGTTTTGCCATTGCTTATTATTCATATTAATATCTTCATTTCTGTTTGCATCACGTTTAATTCTTATTGTTTATCACTTCCGGCATTTGTCACGTGGGTGTGCTTTGTGGTATTTAGGTCACCTGTTGGATGCTGGTTTTGGGACATAACGTAGAGGAGAGGGTGAATGGCTCTGATACTTTCTGTTGACCGTGTGGTCTGGAGTTGTATATTGTATGTTTTTCGTCGTTATTAAACACCATGGACTCGTGTTGTGAGCGTTGGCAGCTCATCTCTTAAAACAGAAGCCTCAGATTGATTATAATAAGGAGAAATATGAAGGTTTATTTCAAGCTTGTTATGTAAATAAGTCATTGGGCTTTTTTCTAGATATAAGATACGTTAGAAAATGTTTCCAACTTTAATTGACTGAATTTATTTGAAAAGTGGTCTCATTAACACATGAGAAGTACTTAAGAAGTACAATATAAGACAAGCACAAGTTTCATTTGTGGGCCATATTTCATTATACTTTCTGAATTTGATGAGGGCCGATAGTTTGGACACCCCTGGTATAAACTGTATTTATTTCCCCCCGGTGTGAACACAGTCTGACCTGAGGTGTTGGATGGAGACCCCTCCCTCAGCATGTTCAGAGCCATGAACCCGAAGGCGTTGAGTCTGTAGTTGAAGCTGACGAACACCATCTCTGTGTCCGCCGCCAGCTTCTCAGTTGGGGAGTACCCCGGCTCCCCCCCACTCAGCATGTGCAGAAACCCCCCGTGGATCCACACCATGACGGGCAGTCTGTGGGCGGGCTGCAGAGCGGGGGTCCACACGTTGATGAAGAGGCAGTCCTCCTGTCCCAACACCTTCCCCCCCGCCTTCAGAGGACGCACCTGAGGACACATGCTGCGGAAACGACCCACGTCCGAAACCCCGCCACGACACAGCGGGGGGGCCGGGGGGGCCCAACGCAGAGGGCCCACAGGGGGGGGCGGCGTACGGCATGCCCTTAAAGGAGTAGGCGCCATTTATCTGAGAGATAAGGAAGTAAAAGATATGTTAAAGGTCACCTATTATGCAAAATCCACTTGTTCATGTCTCTTCTACATCAACATGTGTCCCCTCTGTGTAAAGAGACTCTGAAAGTTTCAGGAACAAAGATTCTCTCTCTTTTTGTCCTGATCCATTTATGTAAAAACCTGTCTGAAAATGAGCTGATCAGATTTTGGCCACTTTATGTCATAACGTTTTTTTGGCTTGTGTAACCATTAGCCAATCAGCAACCAAGGTACCCCCCCCTTATCACCTGAATCTCCTCCTAGAGCACCATTGTGTTCTTTTTAACCAAATATCTCTCAGAGGGGCGTGGGGAGGGGCTCCTTATTTTCATCTAAAGTAACAGACAGAGAATCAGCACTTTTGAAACAGGGCTGAAACAGAGGGCATTATGGGATGCTACAATGATCTGTTTGGTGTTTGTATATATCTGAGACCTATAATATATTGATGAAAAACAGTATAATAGGGGACCTTTAAAATACTAGGTGATTATCTAAACACTAGTGTCTGTGTTTTTGGACTCACGTGTCGGCCCCTGAATTCCCCGCAGGAGGTGGTGACCTGCGCGGCTCCTGAAGGCAGCGTCTGGGCAACGTAGGCCAGGTAGGAGGCGAGGGAGAGGAGGGCGAGCACGCAGAGGAGGATGAAGAGGACGCAGCGGCGCGACAGCACCAGCAGGGGGCTGATGTAGTGTCTGTGACGGGCATACTGCACCTCCTGCTGCGCCTCCTCCTCCTGAACCAGGTACAGGTAGTCCGTCCTCCCAGGGACCTCGAACACATCCTCATCCATCTTCACTCTGAGAGATGAATAACTCAAGTTAAATCCGAACTTGCAACTTCTAACACGAACGCACACATGACCAATGAGGGCACGAGATAAGTTTGTGCACAGATGGAAGGCTGACAGGCAGGTAGGCCCGGCTAAAATGATTGGTCCTGCTTTTTACAGTACTACGGCTTCCACAGATGAAATCTTTTAATGGATTTTTTGTCAAAGCACTTAAGATATTCATTGCTATCGGGATGTTAAGAGCATTCCATGGAATATAACATAAAGTGTATCTCGAGCCGGTTTCTCAAACTTACCTACCCCACCTTTAACTTGCATAATGAGTCAATTGCATTATTTAATTTGTATTATGTGCACTTCTTGTTCTATTTTATTTGACTTTATTTTTCCTTTATTTAATTTATTGTGCATTATTTTTGTTAGCATTTTAATTAGATTTTTTCTTTACACTTCTTATACTTTACTGTTTTTCTATTTCTTCTTCTTTCTATTTTTTCTTTTAGATTTTTTTGTATTTCTGTATGTTTCCTTTTAGATTAATTTATTCCTATTTCTTTGTGCACTTTATTAATATTTTGTTTATGTCTTAAGCATATTGTATGTTTCATTATGAACTAAGACTTTACATGTTCACTGCTGAAACTACGCTGCTATTTATAAGACAATAAACCCTTTGAAACTTTAGATTTTGATTATATAAATGTACATTTAAAAACCCATAATAAGACTGTGACCTGCAGAAAACTCAACATTTAATAAGACTTCAACACAGTTGTTCATGTTATCTTTGTCTGGGGTCACTATGATAACTGTTAGTTTAACGCTAATTTGTGTTTAAATAGTTAGCAATTATTTGTCTTTTTTTAATCACAAGTACAAATAAATGATTAAATCACTAAACATATTACACTGAACTAAACGTCAATGAAGATTTTTTTAAAGAGAAAAACTAGAATTTTAATTACCATGGATATTTTTAGTATTCCATATTAATTAATAAGATACATGTATATTTTTTATTAATTAAGTTATTATCTTTTAAACGTTGCTTCTCTTATTACAAGAGTAAGTGTTAACCTTTCTTCTTGAACCCTTTCCATAGAGCAACAGTGGATTTTTACCATTTCTCTGATAGACATTTCCCAAAAGTCAGTTTTAGAAGCAAATCTGATTACTTTTAGTTGTTTTTGTATTAATAGTATAAGTATAACGTTGTGTTGTACGGTTACAAAGAGGGCTATCATTGTGGTTACTTGCACAAACACACAATAAAGGACACAGGATACTACGTGTGTGAACAATGAGCGGATATAATGTCACAACACAACTAATTCACAAAACAGGTGAATCCAATGTACCGTTATTTTTCACTACATGTTAAATATATAAATATTTGCTTGACACGCCCAGCATCGTCTTACTGTGTCTTTCTCAAACTTTCAACCCATATAAAGCAGATTACGTTAATGAAACGCTGTTATTTGATGTTATTTAACGTGTTTCTTCCTAAGTGTTGTTTGTGCACTAAATCCCTTTTCCTGCCTTTTCCTCTGTGTGCCTTCAACTTCCTCTCACCAACTGAGGACATTTCTATTCACTAAGACACAATCATTCTTCTTTTAATTGCAAGATAACATAAAGTAGAGTTATAAAAACTTACCATGTCCTGTAAACACACAACACATGGAAAAGAAAAACTAAACTAAAGGTGACGCTTTCTGCTGTGGATCGCGCATGTCCTCAAACTTTTCCCCTCTTCTGCTTTTACACTTAAAGGGACAGTAACCCTTATTATACATTCATGACAGTAACCCGGGCAGAAAGAGTTTATGTATAGACTCAAGTAGGATAGGGAGAGGTGATTATGTACACATGAGAAGATGGTTTTCAGATGTGACAAACAGTTTTCGAAGACATTGAGTTCTGATTCAGAATTCTGAGATTTTCAGGTAAAATAAAAAGAGAAAGATAAATGTATTAAAAGGTTCAGAAATAACTTAAAGGTGGGGTAGGTAAGTTTGAGAAACCGGCTCGAGATACACTTTTTGTTACATTCCATGGAATGCTCTTAACATCCCGATAGCAATGAATATCTTCAGTGCTTTGACAAAAAATCCATAAAAAAATGTCATCTGTGGAAGCCGTAGTACTGTAAAAAGCACGACCAATCATTTTAGCCGGCCCGGCTAAAATGATTGGATGGCCGACCTGCCTGTCAGCCTTCCATCTGTGCACAAACTTATCTCGTGCCCTCATTGGTCATGTGCGCGTTCGTGTGTGTTGGAGGAGGGGCTCTGTAAGGAAGTGGCAGATTTTTTCCGGAAATTCTAGCGCACTCGAGCTGGTTTCTCCAAAATTACTTACCCCTTAATAAATATTTTTTTCAGAACTTTTTTTTGATTTTGAGAAAAAATACTTATTTCTTCAATATAATATTTATATTATTCTTTATTATTTGTTTAATGTATTTTTACATTTTTTTATTATTTAGTTTCAATCTTCATTTTGTTATCTTATTTCACTTTTTTGATTTTTTATTGTTTAATTTGTTTATTTTTATTATAATAATTATATTTTATTATCATTTGTTATAATGGGTATTTTATTTTCACCATTATATTTGTTACGTATCTCGGAGATGGGGCGTCCCCGTGAGGCTGGATTTTTATATTATAGCCATTAATTGTTGTTAGTACTTTTTGTTTGTTATGAATTTCATTTTTTGAATTGTTTTTAGTTTAGTTATTTATTAAAAAAAATTTTGAATTCTTTTATTATTATTATTATTATTTATATTTTTAATATGATAATTATCGTATTTTATCTTTTATTATCATTATTATTATTATAAATGTTTTGTGTTTATGTATTGATTTCATTTTTTTATTATTTTATTTTATTCTTCATTGTATTTTTTTGTAATCACTTTTATAATTGTAATATATTTAATGTAATTGTATACAACAACGTTGGATTGAGACATTTTACTTACTTTGTTAGGCCCTTTACCCCCTCCAGCCAAAGACACCAGTACATATTCCAGTCAAATTTTACAGGATTGGCTTCTACGTTTATTAGGGTTACAAGGCGACACAAAGATATTGTTAAAGAACATTTGTTTGAACTCATCGCCAGAAGTAACCATCAATTTTTCACATCTGTTCCAGAAAAACCGAAGGCTACCAGGACGTGTGGAGCCGGGTTTCCTGAACATGTCATTTAGAAAAAACTGGACTTAAGCCTCTGTTTCTTTCTTACTTTACCCAACTTCCGTTTTTCATACCGCAATTATCGCCCACCTGTACAGTACATGTTTTATAAATGTTCCAAAAACACAATGCAACCAGCACATCTGGATCCAGGTTTCCTGAATATGTCCTTCAGAAAAAAATTGAATTAAGCCTCATTATCTTTCTAACTTTACCGAACTTCCGTTTTTCTTTTATATTTCTAGTTCATTTTTGAAAATGCACAAATAAATAAAACATTTAAAAATACGTTTTTAATGAGGGTTATACACTTGGGAAGCTTCATGGTTATATCTATTTATTAAATATGTTTACCCTATTCACCTGTAGTGTGTATGTATGTATTTTACAATCCATATCTTTAAAGGCCATTTCCTTAAAACATTTTGTTAGGAAAATATCACTCGACACCGGGTTGAGATGCAGGTACTAATTTATTCTTGCAAGAAGGAGCAGAGTTAAATCACATACAAAGGATATGGTTTTAACTCCCTCACATGGGGTATGCTGCTCAACGGAGCAGGAAAAAACATCAGGCTTATATAGGCCTAGTCCAAAACACGGAGATAACAACAAAGTCGTAAATCGAGATGGCGCTAATATCATCAGGTGTCGGGGACATCTGCGACGTCTTCTGGAAAGAGTCACGTACTTCCTTCACGCCTCATAGAAGTGAGATATTTAGGAGACAACAAGTATGTGTCTTCTCATAAATATCAACAACCTGAAATGCCCTGCCTCCTACTATCACAAGAAGATGCAGCTGCAAGGTCATACACAGTGCAGAGTCACACATAGTATCAGTGCATTAAAACAACCCATAAAAAGGAGACATTGTTTTATCTCCAACACATTTCCTCCTCTCTCAGCAGGAACCTCCATCTGTCCAGTTTGCCTCCTCTCTAAATGCAGAAGCTTTCTACAGAAGGATTTGCTCATTTATCAATTAATTATAGTCTGATTCACATTTAATTTGTTTAAAACAAGACGAATGTTGATATACTTTTCAGTATGAAGTGATACAAACCCCCTCTGTAAAACCCTTTGACTCAAACATGTCAATGCTCCACCAATATACTGCAGTTTGTCAGTGTTATATTGATTGTACCAAGTCTCTTTAGGTTACATAGGCTGTGGCGCAGTGGGGCAGTGCACTAGTGCGTTGGTGTTTGGATCAGGGGGGCACAGGTTCAAACCCCACTGCAGTCAGCATGTCGTTGTGTCCCTGAGACACTTCACCCCAAATTGCTCCTGTGGGGATTGCCCACAATATTGAGTATGTAAGTCGCTTTGAATAAAAGCATCTAAGAGGTAATGTTATTTTGTATATTTATATTTGGTGTAAATACTTGTCTTCATTCTTTTCAAAATCGTTATGCTTTCAATGTTTGCACCACAATACACCAAAGCAAATTCCTTGTATGTGTAAACGTACATAGCAATAAACACTATTTCACTTTTTTCTTTTTGTATTTACTTGCAATACTTTTTTCTGTGTATCTGTTGAACTGTTGGAGGAGCCTGGGACCTAAGATTTTCATCGTCATAACTACACTGTAGCTATGCACGTATGACAATAAAAGCCTTGAACCTTGAACTAAATTCTGAAATACGAAAACAAGAACGTTGACTGCTTGGTTGATTAAATGTTCAACAATATATTTTTTATTTGTATTGACTTTTTTCTATTCACTTCTTACTCCAGCTGAATATTTTATTCATGTCTTGATTTTGATAAAATGTCACGAAAACAATAAGACATGAAAAGGAGGTTGAATGTTTATATGGTTAATATAACTTATAGAAAGAAGAGTTGAGCTCCTTTACACATTTGTAAATCTTTATAAACAAGTTAGCATGTTCAGCTGGCCAATGTCACTACTAAATAACTGGATATTTATTTGAGTTGTACAGTCTTAATTGTACTTAAAATTAACCAAAAATAGTACTTGTAGGAAATGATTAAAACAAATATGGACTCTTAAAATAAAGTGTTTGACTTTCCCCAATAATTAATCTCTGCAACACTTCCTGAAAACATGCAGAAGTAGTTCAATTCTGATTATTACCACATTTTTAACTCATATGACCTTTCCTGCAGTGCGCATATCTTTGTGTGCAAATGTTCTGCAAAGGCTCAAATCCCCGTGTTCCCTCCAGAGCAGGGGTGTCAAACTCAAGGCCCGGGGGCCAAATCCGGCCCGCGACTTCATTTTCTGTGGCCCCACAAGAGCTCTGAAAGAATATAATACGTTTATTATACGGTTACATGCCGATTTACAGAAGCACGTTGCCCATAAACTACATGTCCCACAATGCATCTCAAATATGAATTTTGTTCAGAATTTGACTTTTTTGCTTCAAAATTTCCCTTTAACATTTTTTCCAGAATTTGGCTTTAAAAAAAAAAAAAAAAAATCATTTTTGTGACATGCACACTGAAGAGACTTCCAATTATTTGCCCTAGACTTCTGCTTTCACATGTAGTTAATTATGAAGTTATTACCCTATCCCATAATGATCCAATGCAGAGGCAATCATTTAATATAATACATATATATTAAATATTTATATATGTATTTTTATATAGTCTTAAAGTTACAACCGGCCCTTTGAGTGCAACCATAATGCTGATGTGGCCTGTGATGAAATTGAGTTTGACACGGCTGCTCTAGAGGAAGTGTCTCTCACAGTAGAGACACAAAATACTATGAACCCTAAAATGAGCAGAAACAGAGACTTAATGTGAAAACTAAGAAAACAGCGCAAACCGAGGGGTAGGGGGTTAGTGTGTAGGGGTTAGTGTGTAGGGGTTAGTGTGTAGGGGTTAGTGTGTGGGGGTTAGTGTGTAGGGGTTAGTGTGTAGGGGTTAGTGTGTAGGGGTTAGTGTGTAGGGGTTAGTGTGTAGGGGTTAGTGTGTAGGGTTAGTGTGTAGGGGTTAGTGTGTATGTGTAGGGGTAGTGTGTAGGGGTAGGGGTAGTGTGTAGGGGTAGTGTGTAGGGGTAGGGTTAGGGTGTAAGGTGTAGGGTGTAGGGTGTAGGGGTAGTGTGTAGGGTAGGGGGTAGAGTGTGCTAGGTTGGTAGGGTTAGGGTTGTTGTAGGGGTAGTGTGTAGGGGTTAGTGTGTAGGGGTAGGGTGTAGGGGTTAGTGTGGTAGGGGTAGGGTTAGGGTGTAGGGGGCGGTTTGGATTGGGCCTTAATGTGAAAACTAACAAAAAAATGTAAAGCAGGAAGAAAGATTCTCAAAATACACACTTTAGTCTTTTTTTTATCTGCAGTGGAAAATGAGTTTCAGTATTTTATTGAAAGTAAGCAATAAATAATATTGTGATAAAAATAGTTTATAAGTACTCAGACTGTACATCATTGTTACAAGATCAGAAGACTCAAGGGGGAGAGCGGGGATAAAACAACAGCAACATGATTTGCATTGTGCATGAATGAACGACTAAAATCACAAACTACTTTAAGCTTTAATGTAAGCAAACTTCAGTTCCTCCCATCCGCCTTTAATAAAAAAAAAAGCGAATGTTGGAACCTGTGTTGGGAGACATTCAAACTGAGATAAAACACGATGTGGGCGAGTAATAATAAATAAGAACAGACGACAGAAAGAGGAGTTAAGAAACAATAAGGCTTGATATGAAATCTTCGTACAAAGTGTTTTTTTAGAAAAAAGGTTTTGACTGAGGCCTCAGTGAAGTTGGTCCATCGAAGGAGTTTCCACACAAGTCCTCGTGCATCGGTGTGTTTCTCCAGAGGTGGGGGGGGGGGGTTTATTAAAGGGGCGCGCTAGGGGGGTAAAGTGGAGAAGTTTCTGCATGCAAAGTCGACTATAGAAAACCTGGAATTCTGTTGCATCCGATAGAAGCCCTCTTGTTTTAGTTTTTTTAACGCTACCGTTATATGGCTTTTAAAATTCAAGAGTTTCATTTTGGTTTTGCAGATATGGAAAATAAAGAAAAAAGGAAAATATACTCTGTGTTTCACATGATATGTGTCGCCGCCATCTTGCCAGCAGTTATCCAAACGGTGACGGACGACTCACAGTGTCGAGCAAAGTGTGTGAAACTCCAGCAATTAGTCTGATATTCACACATCCTAAAGAGCTGCATTTACACAAATCACAGGAAATAAGCTACACAAAACAGCTAAAAAACAAACAAAAAAAGGGGTCAAAAAGGATATGAATTATCACATATCAAAGTCACTTAAGCATAAATTGATTAGAAATCAATGAGGAGGAAACAAACATACATCTGGTCAATAGAATCAGGATTATAAAAAAGATTAGATAAAATGTCTGTCGGTAGAAATATACAAACTCCAGACACATTCAGTTACATCTGAGCTTAATACGGGCACAGTGGGTACATTTGTTTAAAAAGTGGGTTGATTAAAGAGGGAAAAAGAAAGGATTACATAGTAATTCTAAAATCAATTAAATGTCCCATTGGTTTACATAAATATATAATAACAAATGTCTAGAAAGTCTCCTCTAGGGATACTGAGATTGGTGAGTAAGTCTCTGACATTTTTAGTGTCCATTTCAGTTCATCATCCGGGTCTTGTATGCGGGGAACTCCCCTTCATCCTCTGACCAGCGGTTACCTATAGAAATAATGAGGATAAACTGAGAAGGGGAAGAGAGAGATGATCGGAGAAAGAAAGAAGAGGGAAAGAGAAAGAGAGGAGAGGCGGACAACATGCGTTATTAAAGCCCAGAACGAGAAAGCTGCTTCCTGCCTGGAGAAAAGGAGAGGAGCCATTCTGTGTGTGTCTATTTTCTTTAGAGTGTGAGATCTTACCGTTGTGTGTTAACAAGAGTAGGTCCTGACTGTGGCCGTGTCCAGCCTCTGTATAGACTGACTTCCTGTGTGTCCATGTTGGCAAAATCACATGCAGAGACATGCCGTTAGTCACAGCAACGTTAACAAAGAGCACAGCAGCAGAGCAACGAGGGGAATCAAAGAGAGTTCGGATAATCTGGGCCCGTCAGAGGGGTTTAAACACGAGTAGTAGTTAAGAAATGACGGAGCATATAGAGTGGTGCAGGGATGAGTCCTAAAACCTAAAAAATGAGTCAGCATTTTCCTGTTCCCTGGTCTCAAAGATGTTTTTATGAATGTGCTTTTGGTTGTCAGCCTGAAATAGCCTAATAAGAGATTTTTATTCTACGACATAAAATACGTCAGTAAAAATCCACTGGTGAATTTAAAAACGTCTGTTGCTAATAAGTGTCTAAATCAGACGACTAAACGTCATCATAGGGCTGCTCGATTATGGCAAAAATCATAATCTCGATTATTTGGGTCAATAATTGTAATTGCAATTATTAAATGCGATTATTCATTGACTTTGAAAACATCAATTTATTGGAGAAAAAAAGATTTGAACAGTATCTTTTTAACAGTTGATTACCCTGTAGTTCCTTTATAGCCCAACATTAGCTTTTTCCTTAAAAAAATCATAATGTGGGGTTAGCATGTAGAGATTATCCTGTAAATTGTACGTTTGTTTGCCACAGAGCCAAAATCCAATAAAATTGTTTTGTTTGACTGACAGGACGCTATATACATGTAAGTTATTATTATTATAAAAAATCCCATTAGATTGTTGTGGAGGGAACCAGGGAGATGCTAACGGACTGAAAAATATGTCATCGCTGAACCACTCTAACACACACACACACACACACACACACACACACACACACACACACACACACACACACACACACACACACACACACACACACACACACACACACACACACACACACACACACACACACACACACACACACACACACACACACACACACACACACACACACACACACACACACACACACACACACACACACTTCAAGCGCTCACCCTCCATCTGGCTCCTCTTTGGCTGCGGGGAGGGAGACGCTGCGCCGCTGCCGCTCACTCTGAAGTTCGCGGGCAGCGTGTCGGACGGCCCGCGCACGTCTTTGGGTCGGAACTTCTTCCTCCATGAGGGAGCTCTCCGGAAGTTCTTATCATCGTCCTGGAAGAGGAAGAGGAGAGGTGTGCTATTATTTTTGTGAATTTGAATTACATTTTTTTGTATAGTATTTATTTGGACTTGGGTTTTTAATTAATTAATTTGTTTATTCTTTTTATATATATAAAAAAAATTATATTAATAATCGTTTTCCTTTGCGTAAAAAGAAAATGCTTTAGAATTTAGGATTTTTTTTTTTTTTACAATAAGGCATGTTTATTTGTATTGTTTTATTTATACTGTTAATAAATAATTTGAACAAAATACATGCATGGAAAGTGATTATTTAATTAAATGCACTTAGTTACTCTTCACCACTGGTTTGACATTACATTTGGTGTGTGTGTGTGTGATGTGTGTGTGTGTGTGTGGGTGTGTGTGTGTGTGTGTGTGTGTGTGTGTGTGTGTGTGTGTGTGTGTGTGTGTGTGTGTGTGTGTGTGTGTGTGTGTGTGTGTGTGTGTGTGTGTGTGTGTGTGTGTGTGTGTGTGTGTGTGTGTGTGTGTGTGTGTGTGTGTGTGTGTGTGTGTGTGTGTGTGTCACCTCTTCCACTCTCCTCTCTGTGCCGATGGACAGCAGGCTGATGTATTCCCGCTCCAGAGTCGCTCTGGCCTGAAAGACAGAAACAGTCAGACTGTGAACACCAAACAGCTTTACCAAAATCTACCACTAGGTGTCGCACTTCTTTGTAAGCTCCAAATCTAAAATAATGCAGTTCTACTTTTCTTTGAGTCTTTTTTAATAGTTTTTCCACGGATGGTAAAACTGGAAATCCTTCTTTTGTTGCTGTGGGTGAAACTGAACTAAAATGAATGGTTCAAGGCAACAATAAACAACTCTTGTGTTCTGCAAGGTACGGTTAGTCTGGGAACTTTAATTGAAGCATAGATACAGCTGAGAGAAAGTTAAAAGGGTGGAAAATATTCAAATATAACAGACACCTCCTCGACTCCTCGCCTTAGTCCCGCCCACAGGAGATGCGAGCGGAGGAGAGGAGGGGAACCGAGGAGAGAGGAGAGGAACCGAGGAGAGAGGAGGGGAAACAGCAAGCGTTAGAACATTTCTAGAAATTAGAAATCCTCTCAGTGCAGAGAAGTGCACAGGGTTGGGAGAGAGTGTAAGAGAGAGAGAGATAGAGATAGAGAGAGATAGAGAGAGAGAGAGATAGAGATAGATAGAGAGAGAGAGAGAGATAGAGATAGAGATAGAGATAGATAGAGAGATAGAGAGAGAGAGAGAGAGATAGAGATAGAGAGAGATAGAGAGAGAGATAGAGAGAGATAGAGAGAGAGATAGAGAGAGATAGATAGAGAGAGATAGAGAGAGAGATAGAGAGATAGAGATAGAGAGAGATAGAGAGAGAGATAGAGAGATAGAGAGATAGAGAGATAGAGATAGAGAGAGAGATAGAGAGATAGAGAGATAGAGAGATAGAGATAGAGAGAGAGAGATAGAGAGAGAGAGAGAGAGAGATAGAGAGAGAGAGAGAAAGATTCCAGGTTGTTGTGATGAGAATATTCAGGAGAATATTTGTCATTGCGATTAATTGCGATTAAATATTTTAATCGACTGACAGCCCTAATAAATATATATTATATATATATATATATATATATTTATATATATATATAAATATATATATATATATATATTTATATATATATAATATCACAATCAAACAAGTATCAGAGCACTCTCATAGTAATGTAACGCTATCAGAGACTGGATATAAACTCAACACAAAAAGTAAGGACATTTGTTTGGTAGATTATTTCTTTGTGGTAACAATGCTTTTTGGCAATAAATCTTATACCGTTGGAAAGTCTGTTTTCTCACCTTTCAAATGGTGCCACATTTGTGAGGAACATGCATTTGTGGGATGAGCAGCAGAGCTGAGTTTTTGTATTTTTGTGACAACAAATAAATAATCTACCAAACACAAATGTCCTTACTTTTTGTGTTGAGTTTATATAAGAAGCTGCCGTGTGTACCTGTGTGTTCTGCATGGGGACCTGCAGCAGAAGGGCGAGTGTGTTGTGGTCGAAGGTTTCGTCCAGAGCGAGCAGCGCCCCGTGGACTCCGCTCTCGAACAGATTCCCGCTGTACTCCTTCAGCCCGATGGCCTGAACCCAGCTGATCACTCGCTCGTTGCTCCACACCATCACCTCTGCTGGGAAACACAGACAAACAGAGAGGATGAAAACACAGTGTCTTTATAGGTCTCTGCTATATACAAAACATGTCTCTGAAGTGTTTGGCTCCAAACACCAAACAGATCATTGCAGCATCCCATAATCCCCTCTGTTTCAGCCCTGTTTCCAAAGTGCTGATTCTCTGTCTGTTACTTTCGATGAAAATAAGGAGCCCCTCCCCACGCCCCTCTGAGAGATATTTGGTTAAAAAGAACACAATGGTGCTCTAGGAGGAGATTCAGGTCATAAGGTGGGGGGGGGGGTTACCTTGGTTGGTGATTGGCTAATGGTTACACAAGCCAAAACATCGTTATGACATCATTTTTTTTTATAGAAATGGATCAGGACAAAAAGAGGGAGAATCTTTGTTCCTGAAACTTTCAGAGTCTCTTTACACAGAGGGGACACATGTTGATGAAGAAGAGACATGAAGAAGAGGGGACACATGGTGATGTAGAAGAGACATGAACAAGTGGATTTTGCATAATAGGTGACCTTTAAGTTACGGTATAAGTTGTACAATGCTTTATAAGTACCGTGACTTTCATGATAGTAAGTTCTCGGTCACGATCGGTTGTTTCCGTGATCGGCCGAATGTTGTGTCACGGTAAATGTTGCGGCTGCAAGGCATTGTGGGGCAGCATTTTCTCCTTTCCTTTTGTAAAGGAAGGTCCAGTGTTTCCTAAGCTAAAGGAGGTTATAAAGGACGTTTCAAAGCTCCTTTCCTATCATCTAGAGAATTCAAACAGCTCTTATCATGGCGGCCACTGAGGTACTTCCGGGTCATTTTACTCCTTTAGGAACCTTCCTTCCTTCCAAGCTAAACTGACAATTCGACCGCAACCAGTGTCTTTAAGTATAATTTAAATGTGGGCATTTCTTTCTGTGTGTGAGAGTGTGTGAGAGTGTGTGTGTGTGTGTTACCTTGCAGGTCCATCTGAGAGTGCTCCCTCCTCCTCTCCAGCTCCTTCCTGTCGTAGTTCAGCCTCCTCAGACACATCACCCCACACTGGAAACTGTTCCTGTAGCACAAACACAAACACAGTTCTTCATATGAAAACCTACTTAGCTTTTCACTAAACTAAAGCACTTTCAAGGCACCAGAATACAAATAATAATCGTGAAACTAAAGGCTCCTTTTATCATCATTATATCTCACATTTTTTATATTAATGCAACAAACAAAGTTTCAAATAATTCCTTTATTGCCACCGTATCAATATCAACCTTTATTTTTGTTTATTCTTTAAAGGTAACCTCTCATGCTATTTTTAGGCAATAGCATAGGTCTCAGATATATAAAAATATATTAAAAAACATGTCTATGAAGTGTTTTGCTCAAACAGATCACCCATTCTAGCCATGCCTCATATCCCTCTGTTTCACTTCCTGTTTCAAAAGTGCTGATTTGGGGTATAACGCTTTAAAAAAATTGATACAAATAAAAAAGGAGGGGTCTGAGCTCATGCGGGACCCGGCAGCTACTGTCTAAACTAAATACTGCCGTGATGAAACGCCATATCATGGATTATCAAGGATTACTTCTGAAACAGTATGGAGCTCAAAGGCTTTCTCTCTTGCCGGTTATACCACAAGGTGAGTTCCTTTTTATTTCCTGCTTCTTCACACACATGCTCTCCAGTACAGGTTAGCTCTGAGTGTTAGCGATGCTAATGTAAACACCGACCATATTACGTCCAAAACAGTCAGGCATTGTTTCTGATAGCAACTTTTCTGATAGGTCTGTGGGTGTAAAGCCAGCCTACATTTCCGATATTACGTCATATCGGACGCAAATCTGGATCAGCTCTGTTCCCCCGTTTTTAGAGATTTGGGTACGGAGGAAAAGAGAGAGGGTTTTGTTTTCTGACGCTGCGCGAGTTCCCCGACACACCTCATCAAAAAGTGCATTTTGCATGATAGGTCCCCTTTAAGGTATCCATTAATTTGATTTGAATGGTATCATGCTTTAATAGTCATTATAACACCCCTTGCTGTGAAATACAAATGTTGTGCAATATATATATATGCCGTTAATAACTGTGCAGTATATACCTGGCTGCTAAATCTTTAGAACTGTTACAGGATGTGTATTTTGTAAATTGTGTACTTTTAATTTTTTTTTATCTGTAATATTTGTCTTTATGCCTGCTTCTTAGTTAACATTAAGCTGTCTTTGACTCTTTTCTGCTGTAACAAATGTGCCTTTCCCCTCTGTGGGACTAATAAAGGTATTCTGATTATGATGTGTTACCTGTGGAAGCTGTCCACCATCTTGAGCTGCCCCCTCAGGTCCTTCTTGGTGAGGTGGTCCAGCATGCGGGCGTCCACCAGAGACTCCATGAAGTACGAGCGGTACTGAGGCAGACCGAGGGTCGGCAGCCACTCGTTCCCGATCCACTCGTGGTTCATGTCTCCGTACGCCAGCGTCTGCAGGAAGAACACACACGGGTTAACATTCTGTTCTGTGAGTGTGTTTAAACGTTTGGAAAGTGTTGTTTACTTCAGATTTTAAATGACAAGACTAAGTTGTAGCTATTAAGGCACATAAAGCCTTTGAATCATATAAGAAACTAATAAACAGTAACTAATAAAAATGTAGTAATGGTCATTGTTTACAAATGCTGTTTAAGCTTAATTTATGGATTAAAAGCAATCAGTATTACTGTTAGATTGTAATGCATCTGTGTGGTTGTGGCTAACTCTTTTGATGCTATCTTAGGTTTTAACAGAGGAAGGCAGATTTTTTATTCTATGTTGTAGAAGACTTCGCAAACATTTCGTAAATGTTACAGACCTTATTTCCTAGACTAATTCCTGCCCAACTTAGGGATAGATTTGGTTTAATCTTGATCTGAATCAGGACTTCTTTGGACAGTGAGGATTCGTTATTTTATCTCACAGTCGAGATTTTACCACCAAAACAAGGCTTTGTGTATCTATGCATTATTCCCTATTCTTTCCTGTATTGAACTTCCTTCAGTTGTGTTTCCTTAAAGCATAAAAAGCCATATTCTGCAGGTGGTTTGGACAATATTCTAACTTATAACACACACAACCACAGCAGTACACGTATATGAAGTTCAAATGGCTCTGCTGTAAACCAAACTCAAGGGGTAAAAGTGCACAATTTTAAAAAGGACCACTCAAACATGCTTGATGTGAAAAATCTGGAAATACACAGGAGGATAATGTGACGTCTCCTCTATCAGACACTTAAAGGGGACCTATCATGCAAAATGCACTTTTGTACGTCTTTTATACATGAATATGTGTCCCCGGTGTTCCAGGGAACTCACCAAGTGTCAGAAAACACAACCCTCTCTATTTTCCTCCATACCCAAATCTCTAAAAAAGGGGCTGCAACGGATCTGATAAAAACTGATCCAGATTTGAACACTGTCCTGACGTCAGGACGGTGGCGCTACGGCTATTGGGCCAACTCCACCTATCAGGAGGAGACAGCCACGGCCATTGCCGTTCGAAAGCGCTGGAGACGCTGTAGTACATATGCCAGGCCTGTAGGTGGTGCTGTTCTCACTGAATCAGCCCTTGCAAAAACAGGGGTAAAAAAGTGAAATGAGGCATGGCTAAAATGCATGATCTGTTTGGTAATTTGAAAAAAAAAAAAGTATAAATATGCCTTATATAGGTATGGTCCTACAATATATTATTATAATATAGCATGATAGGTCCACTTTAAAGAAAACAAACACTGACTAAAAGATGGTGAGTAAAAGGGTTTTTTGGGGGAAGGTCTGCAAACCTGGGCCCAGCTGCCCTCGTCATCGTCCTGGTGTTAGCGGGTTAGAGTGAGCGTGGTGAGAGAACAGAGAGTTAGTGAGGCGGCAGGCTGACACGCTGCATGTGGGAGAACCACTCAAAATATAATAAAACAAGACGCAGAAATTCAGGTTAAGCATTCAAAAAGGAAATAGAAAGGCAAAAAAAACAATAAGAAAATTGTAGGAGGGCGATATGAAGAAAAATCTACTTATCAGTTTTTTTCATATTTATCAGTGTTAGCAAAATAATCAAATCAAGATCAAACTGTTACCTGTTGTTAATATTTTTTGTCTATTAATTGATTAGTTATTTGGTCTATAAAGTTATTTCCATAGCCCAAAGTGGCGTTCTTCAAATGTATTTTTTTGTCCTAAATAATATTACAAAAAATCTATTGAGAAATTTTATTCATTTAGAAACCATTGTTAAAGCTAAAATTGGGAAATTAAGCAAATTAGATAATTGACAAATCAAAAATCCTATAAAAACACATTATTATGGAGCAATGCATCCTATAATAATTTTCATTGTCAATATATTGTTTTTTCGATTAATTTATTAATTTATTTAAAAAAAAAAAAAATAAATCCCCCAAAGCCCAAGAATGGGTTATTTAAATGTCTTATGTTTACATATTAAAATACCTCCTAAATATACTACATTTTCTGAAAATCTATTAAAGGGCCCATGTCATGCTTTTCCGGTTATTACCCGTCCCCTTGTGTGTTATGAAGGTTTTTATGCATGTAAACGGTCTGCAGAGTCACAAACCCTCAAAGTACACCCTGTAGCGAGTAAAACTCTAACACAGAAAATACCTCCCCAAAACGCCTCGTTGGAGATACGTCATTGTCCATTTGATTCTTCCATTTCGTTCCGGGTACGGCATGATGTCATGCCGTACCCGGAACGAAATGAACCAATCCGTGGAGCCGTTACGTTACGTCCGCGGAGCCGTTACGTTAAGCCCCCGCTGATTGGTCCAAATTGACCGATCCACGGACTTCCTCACACACACATCTGTGTGCAGGGAGCAGGCAGCTCAGCTGATTTCTCCTCCCTGGCTGCAGGCTGATAACAGACAGTTGGGATCGCGGCGAAATTCTCTCTGCAGACCCATTCTCACAGCGTTTATCAACCTTTTTCTTACTCAATATCAAGCCACACTTATTGTTTTTACTTCGGCTGTGAGTTTGTGTGTGCTCAGGATGAGTTTGGCTGTGTTTCGCTGTGTATCGCTAACAAGGAAACAACACCTCCACGGAGCTCAGCGCGATTCACAACGTCCCGACCAATCAGAGCACACTGTGCTCACAGGGAGGGTGGGGGCTGGAGCTTTTGGAGCTACAACGAGCCGTTAAAGGCAGAGAGTGAAATTCAGTGAATACACGTAGTTTACAGAGATGCTGTGAGAAACCAATGTGAGTTTGGAAAAATGCACAGTATAAACCTATTTTAGTATAGCTCAACAATGGAATTATGATCAGTGGAAATGGCCATGACATGGGCCCTTTAAGACACTTTACTAACATTTAAAAAAAGAATAAACTGAAAAAATGGCAAATCACGCAAACATCTTATTTTCATCTATGGCTTAAAAAAATAATAATCTTACGTTAATCCAATATTGCAGTAGAAATATAATATTATTTTCTAGAAAATGTGTCCAAATGTATGTTGATTTGCCCAAGTTTGGTTTGAAAATATATATATTTTTCCCCAAATCAAGCAAATTCGACACCAGAAATACCCACGTTTTTTTGTATCTCGCTGATCCATTAATGGATAGAAAAACCCAATATTGCATTAAAGCACTCACTACATTTCTCACAAAGGTGAATAATACAGTGTGAGACCAGCAGATAAAGTGATATCGTCTCTGTTTTTATATATTCATTCATATCGCCCAATCCTAAAACATTACACTGTACCAGAAGAGTTAAAGTAAAGGGGGACAGTGGGGAGGGGAGGGGGTTCCTTCATGCATTTTCCCTCTCGTTATTTTTGTTATTTCATCTACCTTGTAGTGGCTGGCTCAGTTATGCAGACTAATCTAAACTAAGCAGCTCTAACACACCAACTAACACTCAACACAGAACACAGAGTGAGGGTCTACAGGGAGAGACAGGAAACTACACGGAGGAAAGAATAATTACAAACTAGCAGAAACAAAAGGCCGTGTTTCAAGTTGCTGAGACTCCATTAAGCCAGATAATTATTAAACTGAAGTCGCTTTGGTACATTTCTCAAATCAGGTCTGACCCCCAAAACAAAACACACAGGTATCAGTTCACTGCATGATTCATTACATTCAAAAACGTTGAACCATAATGACATTAAAATCCGTAAAGTAAAATAAATCCTGCCCAACATTTGTATTAGTTTCCCAATTAGGTTAAAGTTCAACTGTGTATTGTTCAAATGTAGATATAGCCATACAGAACAAGTGTATCTAGAGCCTAACAATTAATAAACATGTATTTTTTAAATTGCAATATAGAAAATGCAGTAGGAACATTTTAGCAAAATAAATAATTGTACAAATATTCTAAATTATTAATTACATGAATATTAGTTTGGCGAGGTTCCTCATTTTATATATTTAAAAAAAAAATGCAAACAAAAATCAGAATCTTATAATATATAATCGCTAGTAGTTATTTTTTCCAAATCTTGCAAAACTTTTGTGTATCTAATGTGTTCATTGCCGTAATTTATCTACCATTTATAGACCAATTAAGGATTTTAAGGTAGTTTAAGACTGTTGCAGGTAATCTATTGAGAACAAATGTGTACTGTTGCACAAATGTGATGTCTGATTAGAGAAATGCAGCAAAGCGACCGATACAATCTGTATTTTGCGTACAGAGAGAAACGTCTGGCTGTCCTGAAAGCAGCTTGGAAACGAGGCGTTCACCACAGAAGCGTCCAGCCAATCAGGGTAGACTAACCGTGGGAGGCGTGGCTGCCAAACTTTCCATTTCTTCATGAGTGACCCAAACGTTTCCTGTGGTCTGATCATGTGACACCCCCCAATCACAAGTGAGAGAAGTGTGTGAAGAGGGAAGAGTGATGAAGGAGGACAGAGAGAGAGTGGAGTGGAGAGAGAAGAGTTTTTCATTCATGGTTATCACTGTTAGAGAATCAAGATCAAAACCAGCAGAGCTGCAGATCACTGTTATTTCTTTGGTCTGTGTTAGTCAAATGTTTCAGATTTTTGCCTAAAGATATTTAGTTTACTGACATAAAGTTACTATACTTTATGGCAAGGTAGATTAAAACATTTTTTTAGGACTTTTTATGCCACTCGGAATTACATTTAAGACCGATTTTACAGAAATGTTTTACTAATATCTGGGTCGGTGTGACGTTTGTGCAAAAGACATAAACATTGTTACGTCAAGTTGGATCCAAGATTTGTTTAGTGTCACAAGAATGAAGTTAAAGACTAATTGTACGCTTAATTGTTTTGCTATATGGATCTAGATCTATGACGTAATTGCAAAAAAAAGATTACCAATCATTATTTTGGTTTTTTTGTGACGTCAGAAGAAAATAGGGATAAATAAAATCCCATGTCTTGGCGCTTAACATATAATATATATACTTTTGACATATGAATATTATAGTATAGTAATAATTATAATTGAAGGCCTTATTTTAATATACATGGGAACCCTGTTTACAGGACTTCAATATTAAATAAAACAATTAAATATTCACATTAAAAAAAGTTTAATCCGAGAATTTCTACGATCTGATAAAAATACAATATAAAAAATTCCCAATTGGATTAATCTATTACCAAAATAGGCTTTGATTACATTTAATAGTTGCCAACATCTCAATAAATCATTACATATTTGCAGCTCTGTGAACTAGTCTGACCCCATCATTAGTGCATAAGTAGTTAAAATGTTAATGCAATAAAAGCAGCATGCTCAATCAGAGAGGCTTCATAAAGACTGTGATCAGGCAAAGTAATATTAGTAATAAATGTGTGTGTGTGTGTTTTTTCTCCACACTTGAACTAGTCAGTAAAGTACCGTTCTGGAGGTGGGGGGGGCGGAGGGGCTGGTGAGGGACATGATCTCCTGGATAGCGAGGCGCAGCTTCAGGCGATGCAGCGGGTTGCTGATCCCGATCTCTCTCTGGATCTCCGTGTCCGACAGCGCCGACATGATGGCGCCGCTCTTCACGTTCGCTCGACACGCCGCCACGTACCAGGCCGGCATGCCCACCCACAGCTGAGAGGAGAGAGACATTGATAACATGGGTACATGCTGAGTGTGATGGAAACTTCTGAAGCAATGGAGACTCAGAGAGACACGGGAAGAGCAGGAACTTTGATGGCAAACACTGATGGTTTATTAGGAGCTTCGGCCGGAGGATTCACAAGACATGTTCTGAAGATCTCTACCCCAGACCCGTGTGTTTAGCTACTTCTGAGAGAAGAATCAACATTGTGCATAACAGGATAAAGCACTATAACACCTCTATCAGCTGACAAAACAAGGCATTGCACACAAGCAGAAATGAAAGAGTAGAAATACCAATACCAATATCAAGGTGTAAAAATACAAGTAAATGTGCTGATGCGTTAATGTGCCCACAGCTGGCAGAGGAGAGACATTAATAACATGAGACATTTAATTAAGTAAGAATACCAATACCAAGGTGTACAAATACAGGTAAGTGTCCTGGTCCATTAATGTGTTCATCACAGTTGATTGGAATGACCTTATATACTGATATTTTAACTATTTTCAAACATGTTACAAGTTTTAACAACATGACCCACTTTGTATGGTTTTAGTCAATCCTTACATATTAGGATAACATGTAACATAATGCAATATATTATCTTTTCACTTGATAACAGATTTTACCATCATACCAGGAATGTACTATACCTGGCAACCAGTATCTGGCTATAAGTGTATGATCTTTAAATCTGGTTAATATAAAGTACAAGTATTGAATACAAGAATCAAGTATAAAAAAGTAGCTTAAAATGTGTGTGTGTCGTACCTCCAGCCACACCACCACAGTCGGTCCGTCCCACTGAGCGAAAGGCAGGCCCTGCATACGAGCTTCCTCCAGCAGCTCATGCCTGAGACACAGAATTTATATTAAAAACAATACCCAAAAACACTTTACTTGCCCTAAAACCCCAAAACATACATAAAAACACACCAAAATCCATCAGAAAGTCCCAATATGCACACTATCAAGTCCACGTTTGGAGCAGATATGCACACTGACCCAGAGACATGCAGACTCAAACAGAGAGCAGGAGTTTGAGAGAAAACAGGAGAAACCCAGGAAGACTCAAAACAGACACATCTGGAAAACGTCTGACAGAATGGCATTCATTAAAAGGTTTAATATGTTACTGTTCTGCATGAAAACCATTTGATCTACGTTGTGTACTTACATAATCCTTAATGTTTCTAACCATTTTCAAACCTAGACATTCTGTTTGTTTGATTTACTCGTCTGTGGTCATCGTTGTGTTTTTCTGCCTGGAGATCTCCAAAATGTGTGTATTGTTACTGTTTAGATTGAGTTACTTGTATCAGCATACAATTACAAATGGTGCATTTTAAAGTATTACCAAACTACTAACAAAACTCCTCGTCCTATCCAGGTTTAACCAGATGTTTTTTCGTTAAGCCTCTCGGAGATGACTGGCTTCAGGTTTGAAAAATTATTAGTCAGAAGCGTTTTCTCCCAGAACCAGTGTTTAGAGAGTCCACTTAGAAAGCCGTCTTCAGTGTGAAGGCATTCATCTACAACTGTAACATGCGTAAAGGGAAGTATTTAGGGCAGGAAAGGTATCTTTAATTCTGTACATCCATGACATGCACATTCTCTGTCTGTATTCAAAACACAATGCCATTTAGCAGACGATATCTGGAGGAAGTTATTTTTAATTCACAGGCATGGAAACAAGCCCTAACAGAAGCTATTCAATGATGGCCACTAGATGGGGCTGTTTGCTGCATATCGCTGATAAAAACAAGCCCACAGTTAGCATGTTCTCAACTAGCAATTAGCTTCAATTTGAAGACTTTTTTGACAGAATAATGGACGAAAAACCTCAGAAAAAACATTATTTCCGTTATCTCTCCGGTAGTTTCAGTGCATCATGCTCCAAAAGGGAAAACTGTGCCCCTCACTAAAACTCAGCACAAACACATTCCTGTTAGTTAAGCTCCTCTGTGGAAAGCAGGGTAAAGAGCAGCATGGACAAGCCATCAAACATTCGGAGGGGACAGAAGTCAGGGGTCCGTCAGAGAGTTACTGGTGAGGGTCAACGTGAAGCCGGGGGTGGAAAGAAGATAAAAGCAAAGCAGCAGAAGAAGCAACGTGAACCGACTTACCCTGTCTTTGGACTACACATGGAATGAGAAGGGGGTGATAAAAAAGAAGCAGAGGGACGATGACAAAACAATAAAGAGACAGAATGAACTGAGCTACATGGAAGCAAAAAAAAATGACATTTGTAGTATATTTGCACAAAATTAAACGTGAAAGTGGAGGAAATAAAAACGTGATTGGGTGAGCGATGGAAAGAAGATGGGCTGATAGAGTGAGCGTGAGCCAGGTGGCAGGGAGTGATAGATTAACACTGGCTATAGAGTGGTGCAGGAATGAGTCCTACAACCTGGGAATGAGTCCTACAAGTCCTACAAGCTGAAGAGATTTCTATTCTACTACATCAAATACGTCCGTAAATACCCCACTGGGGAATTAAAAACGGCGGTTGCTAACAAGTGTCTAAATGAGACGAATAAACGTCATCACGGCCAACATTAGCCGCCTTTAGCTTAGCGGTGGAGACGTGAAGTCATGTGACCGGGCTGTAGTTCCTTTATAGCCCAACATTAGCCGCCTTTAGCTTAGCGGTGGTGACGTGAAGTCATGTGACCGGGCTGTAGTTCCTTTATAGCCTAACTTTGGCTTTTTATTTAAAAAGATTATAAAGTGGTGTTAATATGTGGAGATTATCCTGCTGAACAAAACATGTTTAATTATTATAAACGTTTCAGATTATTTTCTGCAATAAATCAAAATAACAAGGAGAAATCCCATTGGACCAGGAGATGATGCTTTCAGGGTCAGCATACAATAATACGTCATCACACCACTCTATAGGCTTGCAGTTTTCAAGACTTTTCAAGGACACGTAATAACATTTCTACACAAATTGTAATTATTGAATGGAAATTAAACAGGAACCTTTTTTCTATCTCAAGTAGCTGCCATATTTACTTTTAACACTTCAGACTACATTATAGCCAATATGTTGTCCTTTCTTATTAACAAAATAAAAAGCTTTAGAAGCACTTAAATCACTCTGGCTTTAAAGCACAAGGGGAAACCAGTGTCTCATTTGTTAGTGCATTTGATTATAAACTCATTTCTTGATGCACATTGGAAACACAGTGAGGAAACACAGGTATACAGTCTACAAACTGCATTCTTCTTCAATTACCGAAACAAATTGTCATCAGAGCGACACACACATATTAGAGCTAGGCACGTCCACAGCTGGAGAAAACATTTTGCGTTATTTTACATTATGTAGAAGGTTGACCACAGAACAATTATTTCACAGTGTTCAAAAGAGGAAACTCACTTCTTCTGCAGCTTCCTGTTCTTCTCTGCAGGACCCCCCAGGGTGCCCATCCCTAAACCGTCTTTAGGAGAGCCCTCCGCCTCAGGAGTGCCCGCTGCAAACACAAACACAATGTCCAGAGATATAAGAGGGACACAGAGATGCTGTGAGCATGAAGTTCATTTAAAGAGAGACCTGCTGTGATGCAGTGATTCTCCAGGTGTGGCATTCGGGCATCTGTGATTCATTACCAATTGTAATATATTTACATTTTAATAACTTTGAATAGTTGATAAATTATTGATATTTATTTGAATCTAAAAAAGTGTATATTTATTTTCCCACCATGTTCCTATTGAACATTTCAACCACGTAAAATGCAGTTGAGGTGAATATATAGATATTTAAGAACATAGAGTTGCTGTAATTACTCATACAAATAGGGAAGAATTAAATAAAAATAAGAGTGAAAAAAGGTGCTAACATTTTTCGATTAAATCAAACATCTGTATGACAAATGGAAATCTGATAATCAGTGACAAATTGTATATTATTTAGAATAATCCCAATGTTACGTATACAAGATTGAAACTAGGGCGGTTCGATTATGGCAAAAATGATAATCACGATTATTTTGGTCAATAATTGATATCACGATTATTAAATACGATTATTCATTGACTTGGATTCAAAACATCCATTTATTGAACTTTAAAACAAATACAAATAATTATTTGAACAGTATATTTTTAACTGTTGATTACCCTGAACGTATAATTCAACTGAAAAACCAATACAAAAATAAATAAAATTAATTAATTAATTTAAATAAATAATATCAAAATAATAAATACCAATAAACAAGATCAACAAGCACTTCCACAAGCTACTAAACATATATTGATATGATAAATAAAAATAAATTAGACAAATACATTTATTTTTTTCCGATTATGTTGTTTTCGTAATTGTGGCAAGCCAAAATCGTAATTGCGATTAAAATACGATTAATTGCACAGTGTTAATTGCAGCTATTAAATGGTTTAGTTGAATACTCGATTCTGATTGGTCAATTCAGAACACGTGACACGTTGTTAATCCAGAACAGACAGACCGCTGTCAAGGATTTATTGACAGTTGTTAAGGACGCTCAGAAAGAAGTTCGGTCATGTAACTGTTTTTCAAATGTAACAGTTTGAAAAACAGTTAGTTAACATCTTTCAATTTCTCTTGTGTTTTTATTTTACATAATTAAGACTTCACAAAGGGTAGAAAAGTAGTCTTGATGAGGGGGTACCGGGTATATTCTATATCTTGCAAGGGGCTTTTAGCTTGAAAACAATGTAACCCTATGCTGTAGTTCTGGATTAAAGCCCTGTGTTCGGGGTCTGACCTTGGTTGGGGGAGTCCTTGCCGGGGATGCTGGGTCGGCCCTTCTCCTTCTTCCCAAAGAGGCGTCCGATGGAGGACTTGATGCTTTTCTTCTTGGCCGCTTTGTTCAGAGAGTCCTGGCTGCTGTTGCTGCTACTCGGGTTGCTGCCCTGACCGTCCTGCAGCCCGGAGAGACTGGGGGGAGGAAGAGGGAGAGAAGACTCAGAGAACAATAATAGTAGACAGGGACACAGATTGAAGAGGTACGGGTTAATTGTGTTTACGTAAAGTGAGACTAAAAATGTTATTTTCACATATTTTTTCAATGACTATGAGAAGGGACAGCAACAACGTAATTAAACACTAACTGTGACAATAACAACACGCAATATTGTTGAATAAGAAAGACTTTAACTAGGGCTTGATATTTAATCGAAAAATAAATATGGGACTATTGGCAATATCTAGATATCAGTAAGCACAATATGTTTTCAAGGTAAAATATGTAAAATTATTTGAATGAAGTGTAGTTGAGCTGACCCAGAAATCAACGGACTTAATACTATAAATATAAAAATAACATCTTTGTTTGTTACAGATACTTTGAAAAACATGTATCAAATTCATCAGGGTGATTTTTTTTAATGATAATGTGTATAATTTGTTTAAATGATCATCCCTCCAATATTGTAAATCATATTGCAGTAATCATCAGTAATCAAATTGAGAAGGTGGACAAAAAGAAAACTGAACAAGTTTGACTTGCTTAGACTGGTAATCAACTAATACATGACAAATAAACAAGAAAAGGTCGACTCAGTATGATTATAGATAGCTCCCAAAGATATGTGACTGTTATTTTGTATATATTGATTGTCTTGCTTTTATTTATGTCTTAATGTGTGCATATGTATAAATGTGTCTGTTGATTGTGTATATATATATATATATATATATATATATATATATAGGATATACATATTTGTATACATACTTCTATATATATATATTTGTATGGGATATTTTGACAATAACGGTGCGTCCACACAGCAGCGTTAAAAAAAATCTTGAAACGCTTCTGCCCATTCACTTTGAATGGGGTGACGTCACTTTCCCTCACTTTTCGCCGAAATGCATTGTGGGCAGGCGAGCGGAGATTTTCAGGATTTTCAGGATTCAAAGTTGAACAATGTTCAACTTTTGAGGCTGAGGTGGAAGCGTCAGCCAATCAAATCCCGTGTACGCAAATCTGACAGTTCAAGCTCTAGCCAATCAAACGGCGTGTATGCTGGGAGAGACATACCGCAGGTCATTTCCTCATATTCCAAAAAATGGAGGAGAAATTAGCGGTAGGGAATCAATCACCCGGTGCTTTATGACCAGTCCCTATTTACCTACCGGGATACAAACCGGAGGAGCCAGGCATGGAGGGAGGTGGCAGAGACAGTGGTATGTTTTCGCCTGTTTTGGGGAGTTTATATCCAGTTTACTTCGGGCTTTTTTGCTTCGTATGTCGCGAGCGGGAGATTCATGTGATTGGTTGCTCGCAAAAAATCCTCAAGCTTCAGATACGCCCACCTCCAAGATTTTTTTAACGCTTCTGTGTAGACGTACCGTAAAGTTGACTTTGACTGACTTGATTATTGAAAAAGAAAATTGGTCAGAATAATGTCAATATGTCAAAAGTAGGTCTCACCCTCGGATGTCTCTGATGTCCTCGTGGCTGGAGGCGTGTCCGGCGTCTCTGTTGAGGCGCATGGAGCGAGGCGTGGTGGGGGGGGACGTCTCACAGTGGATCGTGGCCTTATCGTCCTGAGCAGACTGAGAGGGGGAGACGAGTTCAAGAGAGAGATTACTTTATTTGCTCCGTACAGATAGTAGGGAAGTAAATAAACACAAGAAAGAAAGAAATTCATTTAAGTTATTCATCAAGCAGCTACACTCACAGTCTGTAAACACACTTTGTTGTTATATATATATTTTTAGTTTCATCTTAATTTGTCTGATGTAGGAATTCTTAAAGTGTCTTTTTGTACAAAATAATAATAATAAGGATACCAATAAATATTATCTTTAAGTCTTTAGAAAATCAATAAAATTACATAAATAATAATATTATCAATATCATAGTTCCTCTTGTTATTATTTCTTTATCAAAGTGAGATACAATAAGATTCCTAGCACACTTCAAAAGGAATTCCATAAAATGACTAACATTTTTTTTGACATGCAGAAAATGTGCGTCCTTTTTACTTGAATTACTTTTTAAACAATTAATCAGTTATCAAAATAGCTGCAAATACATTTTAACATTAAAATGGCTTGTTTTCAGATCTCAAAGCTTTCATTTGACTAAACTGCAAGACCAAGAAACACCTTTGAGATGCAGAACATGTGTATTATTGTTGCTTACATTTGTTTTAAACCAATCAATCAGTAATGAAAGTGTTTTCAATCTAATTATCAACCAATAACTAACCATCCTTTTTGGCTCCAGAATAACAAAACAGATATGAGAACATATAAATAAATTCTCCTCTGTGAACCACCATGGTGAACGTAAACAAAACAATGGCCACAAACGTTTTTCACAAAGAAAAATCTAATGTTTTAAACACAGATTGTAGAGGATTGTTTGGGGGATGATGGGGGGGGACAGACACGGACAGAGCCTAGGGAAGCGTTTCTCTAGTTTACCTTCCTGCGGTGCTTGCGCAGGTCACTAGGCTGAAGCGTGGCAAAAAAAAGGAGAGAAGAAGAAGAGCCGTTAGTGAGACGCACGAATCAGAGCAGCGAACAGAAACCAAGCCATGCACACAGAGCAGAAATCACAACAAGACATCAGTTACTGGGGGGAACGAACACACACACACACACACACACACACACACACACACACACACACACACACACACACACACACACACACACACACACACACACACACACACACACACACACACACACACACACACACACACACACACACACACACACACACACACACACACACACACACACACACACACACACACACACACACACACACACACACACACACACACACACACACACACACACACACACACACACACACACACACACACACACACACACACACACACACACACACACACACACACACACACACACACACACACACACACACGTCTGTAGGAGCACCAGAGACACTGCAAATCAACCGAAGTCAGGATGGGTGCAGACTAGTAAGAAATCAGAGGGAGGAGAGGAATTATAGCCTCGAGGAAATCGAGTTGAAAAGCAAATAGCCGAGTAGCTAGCTTCTAATGAACACCAATCACAGGTGACAGGGCGGTGAGCAGGTTAGCTGAGATGCTATCTGATTGCTTTCGCTTTATGGGGTTTTCCACTCAGGCCCCGAGGCAGCGTAACCCCTAATTTTACGAAGCAGTTTGACTCATATTTTCCACTGTGCACCTAAAAAAAGTGGGAAGGGTTTCTTTCCCCTGCTGCATTCCTCACAGGCCTGGCATTAGCTGAGCAAATAAACCGTCAGCGTGCCACATTTCTACGCTGGTTTTTCTTGCCCCCAGGAGGAAAATACCTAATCGCTCATTTCCTCTGACTCACCGAGAGTAGCGAGGAAGAGATTAGGAGCTATAAAAGGAAACAGGAAGAGGAAATTGAGAGAGGGAGGAGAAATGTATTTAATTACCCAAAATGCTCCTTTTTTGTTAGGAATGTTTGACTAGTTTCACCAATGCCTTTAAGATAGATTCCATAGTTTATCAATGTCCCTCTCATGTCTGTAATGTTTCACAGCTGTGGTTCAGTATACTTTATGTCAGTGAGCCAGCTTTTCACTGCAGTAGTTTAAAAACAGCTGGATTGGAAAATAACTGCAATCATGGGAATGCACCAGGATTTCATTTTGTATCTATACATTCAACAAATAAGACTCGTAATGGAAAATGCTGACAATTAGTAAAGATTTACGAGCCATAAATCTAACAAGGACTATAAAAAAGGCTGTTTCCACATTTCCACTAAAATGAATTGATATGTTTTGAAACGGTGTTTAAAAATGACTGGATGCCACAGAGGAGTTGACTTTGAAAGGTTAATACCTTATACAGGGTATATGCAGGAATCCTGAAGTCACATGTAATGCCTTTTAAGACCTTTTTTAAGACCCTTTCCATACATTTTAAGACCTCATCGCCACTTCGAGTTTTAACCGGTTACATTTACTATATACAGTATTGATTGTCCTTCCTCCTTATCTTCCAACCATTTGGACGCAGACTTGCATTTCCCCATAACTATGTTGTTTAACAACCGGCGTAAACGGACCTTCGCGCGCTATCAAGCAGTGAGCGTGCGATGTCCTGTTCTGATGACGTCAAACCCAACGGGATGCCATAAATAAACTACACAGAATCACGCTACACACCTACGCAATGATTACATTCAGGCAGACTGTAGAATACAACCTCTTTGGACCATTTATATACTTATTGAAAACAAGCTACAAAATGTAATACCTTGAAAAATGCCGTTTAATACTTTTTAATAGCCTTCATTTTCGCTAAATTGATTTATTAACTTTTAATACTTTTTAAGACCCCGCGGACACCCTGTTATAACACACTGCAAAATAACAAAATATCCTACAATACATTATCTTTTTCCATTCTGCAGTCTATCCCAGAGGAACATGCACCTATTTTAAACACCCACTACTCAGGTGTATGTGCAAAAAGTAACTTAATGAAGAACAATTGTATTTCCTTATTGTTTTGTGATTTCATTAGTGATCTGTAGCTATTGAAAGGTACAATATAAACCATTGTACTGCTGATAATAAGGGAACGTCTTTAAAGCAAATATGTATTAATTTAATTACCTAATACAACCTGCTTCAAGTACACTGTGTTCCGAGTTTCACAAGTTATTTCTGTGCCGTTATTCTCAAATCAGAGTGATGTGTTGAGCACACAGCGGGGGGGGGGGGAAAGAGTCCTGTATGTTTTTGGAGATATCAAATGGAAAATCACGGAGAGGAAGAGGCAGACTGCACCCACCCAGGGAGGAAGAGGAGGAGGAGGAAAGTTCTGCAGGTACCTGGAAGTACGGTGCATAGCTATGTGCCTGAGGGCCAGCTGCAGCACAGGGCAGGTAAGTGACTGTCTGCTGGATGATGTACGGGTCAGAGCAATACTGCTACAGCGAGGGGCATCACATACACATGGTTACACACTCTCACACACGGTTACACTCTCACACGGTGTTAGTACACTGACCACACTGAGGTGAGGAGATAGCATCAATACAGAAAGGTAATATGGAAGGCAAACAGCGTAAATATAGTACAATTCCAGGGTTCGTACAACTTTTTAAATGCATTTTAAATTAACCTGAACATAAGGCTCTCCATTATTTTTGACACATCTAAATTGTTTCTATAACTGCAAGAAAATAATAAATAAAGTTTACAGAACTACTGAAGCAGTCAGTGTGTGGCGTCACCGCTTGTGTTTTAATCATGATTATTTAATTCTTAACTAGATCCATGTGAAACTTTATTTCAATAAAATGTACATTTTGTAAAAAAGTTATAATTGTTATACTTAGTTGTTTTTAAACGCTGCAAAAATCAAATCTAAAAACAAGCATTTTCAACATTTAAAAAGGATTATATTACAATTCAAGATATGTCTAAAAATGTTTACGTAACGATTAAATAAAAAGCATAATAAAATACAAGGACATTCCTAACCTTGACAACATAACGATTAGAATCACGAATGTTGCAAATGTTGTGTACGAACCCTGCAATTCAGCCTAATGTAATCACCAGTGTTTCAGAGACTGAACAAGCGATCTTAAAAACGGGACTTAATGTGTTATTATTTACATGGAGCTGAATTTCAGACTTGATCTGACCATGTAAGTATTATCGTATCGTATCGTATTAGGTGATGCGTAGTATCGATGCTGGTAGATTAAAAACACGTGAGAGTGAGGAGAGTTTTTACCAAGGTCATGACCCCCATGCGGTCCAGCTCTCTGTTGGGGCTGCGGGGGACTCTGCGGGGGGTGGAGCTGCCGGAGCCCGGGGGGGAGCCGCCCAGCGAGGACCCGGCACACAGGGAGGGGGGGATGGAGCTCATGGAGCGGAAACGACCTCCGAGACTCTCCCCGCTGCCGACACGACACTCAATCTCCTCCGCCCGGATCGCCGTGTTCTCCTTCTCCTCCTGGATCATCCTGCAGGGATTAAGAGGAGGGAGCAGATGGAGAACTTATTATATTATTCTATATTATTATAACTATTCAATCCAGATTCTGTATTATTCTGTAAATTGTATGTTGAGTATTCTATAGATACTCTTTAGAAATATCCAGAGACTGTATATTTAGTGTTTATTAACATTTTGTTTTGAACTTTTGTGCAATGCCGTATTAAACTGCTGTTACAAAATAATTAATAATACTTTGGGATACGTAAATCTAGTTGTATAGTTGTGATTTATCTAATCTAATGGTGATTGATGAAAAATATATTCAGAGTATTGCAGCAAGGTGCAAAAATCCACTTTAGAGGATAAAATAAAAAGATCTGACTTCAAACCATTGCACATAAGAAATAGTACTTTGTGGATGTGTAGCTAATGAATTGTCATGTGTATGCTAATAGGTCGTTTGCATGTCAAAAGTAACTCTAATTTACTGGAGAAAAACTACATTATTTCATTTACATTTAGTAAAACAGAAGTACAAAAGAATGGAAATACTCAAGTACTTGAGTAAATGTACTTAGTAACTTCCCCCTGTGCCTGTACCTGATCTCGTTGTTGATGGCGTCCAGCTGTTCCTGCAGCATGAGGGCGAGGGTCTGAGCGTCGGCCTGGCCCCCGGGGGACAGCATGTCCACAGAGCTGAACATCGTCTCTCTGTCCTCCTCCAGGTCCGACGCGTCCATGTCGCTTTCGAACGCCTGCGCCACGTTAGCCAAGACGTTAGCTTGCTGCATGCGCTCCCACTCCTGCTCGTTCAACGTCTGCACCTGGGGCAACGACACGGAGAAGATGGAGGGAGAGACACAAAGATTAAATGATATTGAAGGCAGAAAAAGGTTTAAAAGACAGTGAAAGCAGGCAGGACAGTTTCATCCCACCGGCCATAAGACTGTTAAACACCTGAACTTTTGAAAGAACATCCATAACATTCACCTGTTTGTATATATCAATATTCCAATTACTGTATATAGACTATAGATGACAGTAACACATGCGTCACTTCCGGGCAAAAATGATGGCTCCGCCCACTTTTGGGGGAAAACAAAGCTGTCATTTGAATGGCGGTCAATACAAATTCTGAAGTTTTTGCCAATCCGATCAGAAATGTAAGAAAACCGTGGATCTTTGGATCTTCAAAGAGCCCGATTACGATGGCCAGACAGGCAAACAATTAGATTAAATCATTGGAAATCGACGATCGGGCTCGATATATGGTTAGATATAGCACAAATGACAATAAAAGCCTTGAATCTTGAATCAGGAGGGAGATGTTTAATTTTGTCTTAATTTACATTATTATATGTATATATTTATAGTCTGTTCTCGTACATATCATATTCTATTTACATGTATATAGACTTTTTGCACTACTTTTTATTTTTGTATTTTATGTTGCATTGTTGGAGGAGCTCAGGTCAGAAGAATTTCAGATTTCTATTTTAGAAATCCACATTTCGAGAGAAATTGAGAAACTGGGATCGACGCTAGGCATAAAGATACCGACAAACATCTTGATAATTGATTAATCATTAAAGAAACTGCTATTTGAAGTCTCTAAAATCCAAAAAATGTGCTGTTCACTGGGTGTTATATCAGATCACAGTGGATATCTTTGGATTTTAGTCTGAGAAATCCACATTTTGAGAGAATTTGAGAAACTGGGATCGATAGACAAAAATACAGACAATTATCTGAATAATTGATTAATCGTTAAGGAAATAGCCACTATTTTATTATATATGTTGCATTGTTGGAGGAGCTCAGGTCAGAAGAATTTAATTGCCATTTCTACACTGTAGCTTTGTGCATATGACAATCAAACCTTTGAATCTTGAAGGAGAGGTTTAGAGGCAACTGGAGTGTTTTCATTAATGCATCACAGACAAAATCATGGTTTACTCCTCCTCATTCACTTACATGTCGCTGAAGTCCAGAGAGGAAGCAAACAGAGAGAAATGGAGAAGAAGAAAATCATCAAAAAGAGCTCAAACATTAAACAGGTAGAGGGGGGGAGAGGCGGCATGATGCAAACAACACATTGAGACGACAACACGTAAACAACACTCAAAAAAATCTTCATTTCCAAACATAAAAACATTAAGTCAATTTGTGTTTATTACTGTTTTATATTACATTACATATTTTATATATTTCAAATCAATGTTTTGACTGATGAAATCAATATGTTGGGACCGTTTAATAGTCAGGGTTGGATTATTTTTAAGGTATTTGGTTAGGTGATTTTTAGCTTGTAAGATATATTCAAAATATTGTCTCTTTAGCTCGTCAGCCCCTATTTTCAAGCTTCACATTGTTTATCTGGGTGTCTCATTTCACAATTCTTAACCTTGCCTTGTGATCTTTCTTGTACTTTTAAACTGCATGTGAATAAAAAATAATGTAATAGTTTTTTTGTTTTTTTTTTAAAATAGGAAATGCAAATCATCTAGAGGCGAAGTCCCTCCCTTTCCGGTGGACCTCCATGGGACCTTATTTAGGAAAAAGTATGCATTGAAGTCAATGGAGAGAGAAAGATTATCTTTCGATCCCGTTGGAATTGTGCCACGAATTACACATATGATGTTTGTCAATTTAAAAGATAATTTTGCAAGTAAAAAATAAACTTGCAAAAGTTAAAATGTGTCGTAAAACTGTGAAGTAACACTTTTTGTTTGTGTGAAACCGCTCAATGAACTACATCTCCCGTCTCGCACCACACACCAAGACGGCCGTCACGTTGGCACATTTCACTTCTTTCTTTCAGAATGAGGCGAAAAGTATTAAAAGAGGTGAAAATCACTCAAAGTCTGGGCATGTTGAGAGCTGTACATACACACAAGGGGAGTTAGTCGGTTCCTAAGAGCCAGCATGCGGGACCGGGATTCTGGGATTTGTAGTCTTTCTAGTTGCGTATTTTTCATAGTCTTATATTTCAACAGTTTTACAACAAACTGTGACTTTTTTGACACGGAAATTATTGTTTAAGATTGACAAACATCATATGTGTAATTTGTGGCACAATTCAAACGGGATCGAAAGATAAGTTTTCTCTCTCCATTGACTTCAATACATAATTTTTCCGAAATAAGGTCCCATGGGTCGGAAGTAGATGGGCGTGACTTCGCCTCTCTATAAGTACCAACCATGGTCACACAGGTATTCTGTATCTCTTTCTTTCTCTTTTTACAAGATACTACATTAATCATCTAACTGTAAGCCACAATTATATGGAGAAATAAATTCATTCTGCCAGCTGCATGGTGTATCCCTTAATGCATGCTTCTTGGGTAACATTAAGCTGTCTTTGGCTCTTTTCTTGCTGTAACAAATGCAAATGTCCCCTCTGTCGGACGAATAAAGGTATTCTGATTCTGATATAAAGCTTGGGATCCATTTAGCTTAAATCCTATCTTATGTTCCTAAGTGTTTTTTTAATTTACACTTCAGCAGCACTTGCTGTTGTAGCAAGACTGGGTTGGGTTATTTTGAGGGGATTTGGTCAGGTGATTTTTAGCTTGTAAGATGTATAACAAACATTTTCACTTCAGCTCGTCAGCCCCTATTTTCAAGCTTCAAATTGTGTATCAGGGTTTCTCATTTCTTTATTCTGCCTTTTGACTTTTCTTGTGCTTTTAAACTGCATGTGAATAAAAAATAATTACATTACATTTTAAAGTACCAACCATGGTCATGTGATTTCTGTTTCTCCTACTTTCTCTTTTTACAAGATGCTCCATCAATTGTCTAAGTGTAAGCCTAAATTATAAAGACAAATATGCTCATTCTGCCTCCCTGCATGTCGTATCCCTTAAACATCAATAGAGGAAATATAAAAAGAGATCCATTTAGCTTAAATCCTATCTCATGTTCCATGGAGCTGCTGTGATGCAAGTCAAATTTCAGACTCGATCTGACCATTAAAGTGTTATCGTATCTTATCGGATCGTATCGTTCCTAAGTGTCGTTTTAATTGACAAACTTCCAGCAGCAGTTGATGTTTAGCTGACCTTTGACGGCTCGTCCCTCATCGCTGCCATGCGTCCCTTCTGCGGCCGCCGCAGCACCAGAGCGCTGCCGTAATGATCCGAGTTACTGTCCATCATCGAGGAGGCCGACACCGGGTACCTGAAGTCTGGAGTGCTGCCCATCTGAGAGCGTCTGGGAGAAGAAAAAACACATCAACAAACGTCGATATTACAATGGACATTTACAAAATGGAGAGGATAACATCATCTGTCAATCACAAACTGGAACTATTTGTATCACAATGGAGAAAGTGGACTGATTTCGTAAAACCTCATAGGCCAGATTTTATTTTTACAAACGTATGATTTGACTGTGAAGTCCTGATCACTCCCTAATGTTCGTATTGTTCGCACTGTTTACTGTTTTTATTTTAGGCATTTCGGACCGACAAACTTAAGATGTACAATTACTATGTGTTGAAAAAACACTGTCAGAAAGACTGAGGGGTTACAGGTTTAAAACAGATCTAATAATTGTTCTTTGCTAAGAGGCTGCTGCAACACTTCAGAATCAGATCGGGTTTATTACCAGGTTGTTGACATGTACGAGGAATTTGACTTGATGTCGTGGTGCATACATAAAAGTAAAACACAAATTACAGATGGAGAACTATTTTAAGAAAACTTCCTTTTAACTGTAATCAATGCTAAAGGCTACACTAGATGTGAGTGGTCTGAAAAAAAAACACATACAAAAACTGGAATGTGAGAAAGACTGAGAGGTTACAGGTTTTAAACCAGATGTAGATTTCTAATAATTCTTCTTTGCTAAAAGGCTGCTGCAACACTTTTCAAGGTTTTTATTGTGCACATAGCTACAGTGTAGATACATCAATGAAAATCTTAGGTCCCAGGCTCCTCCAACAGTGCAACACAATAAAACAGATAGAATAGTGCAAGTAAATACAATACAATAGGATAGAAATAGTGCAATAAGAGTCTATATACAAGTAATTGGAATATGATATATTAGATACATAATGTGTAAGTTGCAAACAGGTGAATGTTATGAATGTTCTTTCAAAAGTTCAGGTGTTTAACAGTCTTATGGCCGGTGGGATGAACTGTCCCTGAGTCTGGTGGTTTTAGACCTTTGACTGTAATCGATGCCAAAGGCTACACTAGATGCAAGTGGTCCATATGTGCAACAAAGATCAGGAATACTTTATTGGACCCAGAGGGGGAGTGTACGTTGTGACGGTGTCTCACCCGTGCAGTAAGGAGTTGCTCCGGCTCCTCCCCTGCTCACTCTCCGCCCGCATTGTCTCTATCTGGATCAGGAGCTGCTCCTGTGGGACGGATTCACAGATGGAGGGATCAATTGGTGGAGACGAAAAAGCCACCATGACAAGTGTAGTTAAAATATTTCAAACAGAATATAAAAAGCATGGGCGAAATGCAACTTAAATACATTTAATCAGATGTTACGTTTAAGTTTAAATGTAAGGTCCTTGTACTTGAGTCCTTTCTTTGTATGCCACGTTATAGTTGAACAATTTAAAGGAACTGTGTGGATGAAATATTTATGATAGACTTTACAACATTTACAACAAAATGTATGTATTAAAATGGTCTATGTGTATTTATTAAATAATTTGTTTATTCAACAGCAGGCTAGTAGCTTAGAAACTAGCCAATTGAGAGATCTTATGGCATCTATACATTTTTAACTTTTACGTTGAATACTTTTACCACATTTTGCTTATAGTCCCTACTTTTACTTAAGATACATTTCCAACGTGGGACTTCTTGTTGTAGCACAGTATTTTCACAGTGTTGTTTAAGTACATTTACCTAAGTAAAGGATCTGAGAACACAGAGACAGCAGAAACTTTGAAGGACTCCTCACCTTGTCGTGGTGAGACTCCTCGATCAGCTTCTTGGTGTGCTCCAGCTCTCTGATCAGGGCATTCTGAAAGCATAAACTAGAGTTGACGCACTGAAAAATAAACACTGACTTTCAAAACATATTCATTATGTCAAAGACTGCAGTGTCCTCCTCTCAGATCACATGTATGTTCCGGTCACCTTGTCCTCCAGCGCAGACATCCTCTCTTTGAGGTGCAGCTGCAGCCTCTCGTTGGACTCTGACAGGAGCTTATCCACCGTCTCAGACAGACGCTTGTTGTGCTCCTCGTTCATCTTCTCTCGCTGCCGTGCCTGCACACAAAAAGACAGCTTTGTAAAAAAACGGTACACACGATCAGACTGTTTCAATGGCGTGTTACAGGAATGAGTCCTAAAACGAGTCGGCATTTTAGTCCTCGCTCATCTGGAAGTCATATGTTTTGGGTTGTTAGTGTGAAATAAGGAACCGAGCAGAAGAGACTTTAATTCGCTGACATAAAATACGTCTGTAAATAACCCAATGGGGAATCTAAAACGGCGGTTGCTAACAAGTGTCTGAATGAGACGACTAAACTTCATCACGCCCAACATTAGCCACCTTTAGCTTAGCGGTGGTGACGTGAAGTCATGTGACCGTGCTGTAGTTCCTTTATAGCCCAACATTAGCCACCTTTAGCTTAGCGGTGGTGACGTGAAGTCATGTGACCGTGCTGTAGTTCCTTTATAGCCCAACATTAGCCGCCTTAAGCTTAGCGGTGGTGACGTGAAGTCATGTGACCGTGCTGTAGTTCCTTTATAGCCCAACATTAGCCACCTTTAGCTTAGCGGTGGTGACGTGAAGTCATGTGACCGTGCTGTAGTTCCTTTATAGCCCAACATTAGCCGCCTTTAGCTTAGCGGTGGTGACGTGAAGTCATGTGACCGTGCTGTAGTTCCTTTATAGCCAAACAGTAGCCGCCTTTAGCTTAGCGGTGGTGACGTGAAGTCATGTGACCTTGCTGTAGTTCCGTTATAGCCCAACATTAGCTTTTCACTTAAAAAAATCAGAAAGTGATGTTAATATGTGGAAATTATCCTGCTGGACAAAACGTGTAAGTCGTAAACGTTTGTTTGACACAAATATTATTTTCAGCTATGATCCAAAATCAGACGGAGAAATCCAATTGGCTTTTTGTCGAGGGAAATGCTGCCTTCAGGGCCCAACACAGAAATACAACATCACCGCACTACTCTTTAAATTAAAACTGAGTGTATAGTGACAGTAGTTCCTCGTCTTCCTCACCCTGAGCAGCTCCTGGTTCTTCTCCTCCAGCTGGGCCTCGTGCTGCCTCAGTCTCTCCTCCACATTGCCGTGGCGTTCCTCTGCCTAAAAATGAAAGAGACAATACAAAAAAACATATTTCTTAATATAATCAATCCTCTAAGAGCCGATGAGTGATTAGGTTTACATGCACGTTAATATCCACTATTATATTTGATAATGGTCATCTAAACAGTTGAGTATGACATATGTATATGTATAAAGCCCATCTGGAATATGCAACTTAATTGAAGTTTTAACTACAATTTGGGACACATGGGCTCTTTAGTTATTAGTGCCAGTGATCAGAGAAGAGACATATCGTACTACTTTTAGATATTATACAATACTTTAATATCAACAGTTTGTTCAGTCAGTATCTCAACCTTTTCAAGAAGATTTTTGAAGAATGAAAAAGGCTGTTTTTGCATCTCTCCACGACTGGCATAAAAACTTCAAAAGATCCTATTTTGACAGCTCTTTATAAAAAGGGGCATTGGTGGTATATATGTTTTTTTATTAGCCATGTCAAGAGCTCAGTAGGAACATTGTCTATTTCAGATTAGAGGTAAAACCAATGAATATTTTGTGCATGTAAACATAGTCACTCTCTCTGATGCTAGATTTAATCTTCCCCTAGAGGGGTTTGTCATCCATCCTGGAGAAGGACCTCGCTGAGGAAAGTCAAAAGTGTTTGAGGTTTTTGGTCCTTCGGAAGGAGGGGGGGGGGGGGGGTCACCAACACCAACAACAGCCTGAGAAGCTACAGACGCTAAAAACAGCTAGAGGAAACCCACCGGCTGCATGAGGAGAGGACAGCAAAGCAAGGACTAAAACAAATTCAACAGCCATACATCTGACCTACGGATGAGTACAGGTGTTTGTGTGAATCAAGGTTTGTTAAACATCCAAAATGACTTTTTTTTTTAAAGGACTTTCTAGCCCAATTCCTTCAAATTCAAGGACCCAACATGTCCTATTTTGAGAGAAAAAATATGGTAAATTACTGCTTTAACACTATGGGATTTTTATACTAAGAACTAGCAGGTTTTACAGAAGCTCAAATATTTTTGTTTATTATTGAGTGAAATATATAAAGCACTCAATAAAACATTTCTAATTATGCCAATTTAATCAATTAAAATTGAGGAAAGTAAATCCAAGGATCCCTGGGAAACAAGGTGAATGATTACAATTAACTAATTACAATATTTGATCTGCAATTAGGCGTGTTGAAGAACATATGGAGTGTATAAGAGCAGATATGATCTGTGTTGGCGGGTAAACACGTTTCTGAGACGGACTGTCCCGCCGTTTTCTCTCGCTCTAAAGGGCAGGGTCTCCTAAAGTCTTTTAAGCAAATCAGCAGGCACTTCCTGTTTGTGTTGGACAACCACAATATTTTTCCATATTTGGGAAAAAAGGGATTGAACTGGATGAACTCTTATATTGCGTAAAGAAAAACTACAAATTGTTTTATTCTTGGGGATTTAAACATTGATTTTTCTATAGATGCTAAAAACAACTTTATTAACAATTTATTCTTCACCTTTTTATCTCCCATTTTTGAGCAGCAATTATTGATATCATCTCTTCAAATATTCCCAATGCTTGGACTGAAGTGGCTTGTTATAATACACAAACCCTCTCCAATTATGTGTTTAAGTAAATATATTTAAATACTTTCTGTTAGGCGTCTTGGACCCTTTTTTGAAAGCTTCAGGGTGTCCCATTTCTCCATTATTTCTTATGATTGTACCTGTATTTTTTGTATCTATGTGTAAATGAAATGAACTTTATTCGAAAGGTATCGGCATGAAGCGCTAACACAGCTCACCAGCACATGATCACAAACACAGAGGACTGATTAAGACACCACAGGACTTTAAGATGTAATCTGACGCTGCACTTAACCAGGCACTTGTCATGTAAAAGACAAACTGAAGGTAGAGATGTTTATTACATGATTCGTTTCTCCCTCCTTACTTTGGTGTTCCTGGTCAAATTATTCCCGTTCTGTTTTAAATGTCCTTACATTAACACAAACAACACTACTACTGGTTTACATGAAAAGCTGCAGTGAATATACAAAGAATAAACACTGACAATGTATTTAAATCAGCATTTTGCCGATGTGGGTGTGTACCATCTGATGGATGGACATAATCTAGGGTTACCTATTCATTATGTATGACTGGGAACACAATAGGTGTTACAAAGTTGACTAAACCACTCACAATTCAATAAAAGTTGAGATCAGCAATTGTATATGTTCACATTTTAGGAGCACATCATAAGGCCTTGAAGCAATCAAATGTAAAACACAATATTTATGATTGATGAAAGTATAAAACGGTCAGATTTGACCCGAACACGACAGGAGGGTTAACTAGTAGAAAACACATTTCTTTTGGTAATGTGATCAGCTAATCTAACGGCCTGGTTAAGTTCAGTATCAGAACCAAACGTTCCCACTATCCAGGAGTTTTATTCTCTGAGTGAAGCTGCTCTACCTTCTTCTTAGTCTTAGCGCCTTTAGAGCCACACAGAACACACTAAGGGTTTGACAAGGAGGCGGCATGAAGAGCACACAAGAGCAGAGCATGACGTGAAGAAATGAGAGGAGAAAACAGGTTTAATGTGCACGATTAGACATAGAAATGAGAGAACATGGATAAAGAACACAATGATTTTCATGACCGTCACTTTCATGTATAGACCTGAGGACAGAACAGGTAGACAGACAGAGGATATGTTGAGTTATAGGAGGGTTAATACAATGAGGGAATTTAAATAAGACTTCAGAAGATAGACTGAGTGATTTATGATGGAGAAATGAGAGGGTGGATAACAGAATGAAGGATTTATGTGGATGTTTTGGAGCTGAATGGATGCAATATTCTTTATATTTCTGAGCACGTCTGACTTCTTCAATGTTCTATTTAAACGATTTTGTGGCTTAAGCTCGAGCCAATGAGGAGGAAATCAGAATCAGAAATACTTTAATATTTCAGGGGGAAATTGGTTTTCGTTGTTCCATTTTAGAATGAACAAAATATAGAATTTGTTTTAAATGTGATATATTATATAACATGGGAAGAAAGAATGTGCAATAATAGATAAATAAACATAAGAAATTAAAGTAAAATGTACAATAAAGATAAAATAACATGTCCGATGCGACGGTGTCAGGACAAAGGGTGTAATATTCTGTACAAACTGTAAAGCCCCCTGAGACAGATGTGTGATATTAGGCTAAATAAATAAACTATTACTAAATGATCCTATGGGAATATAACAGAAAATAACTCAATGTTTTTGTTAAGTATATGTTTTTTTTGTGGCTGCAGGAGTTCATTCTCTGCAAGCTGTTACGAATTATCATGTTTAAATGTAATTGCTTACCCTGAAAACAAAATCATTATGAGCTTATTAAACATAGGGTCTGTAGAGTGCCACAGTGACGCGTCCTAAAACCCGGAAGTAAACTCCTTCCGGTTCCTTTGACCAAAAAGCAATGCAATTTCTCCATAGGATTTTGGAAAATAGCTGGAACTAAGGTCTGTGGTTGAGACACATTTAAGAGACGGATCACGTTTTGTTCAGCCGGATAATCTCCACATGTCTACCCTACTTTTATAATTTTCGAATCATAAATCTAGTCGCCAGAAGCAAAATGCTAACGTTATGCTATAAACGAACTACAGCAGGGTCGCTGCTTCAACGTCACACCAACTTAAGTCCATATTCAAAACTACAGATTCTAAATGGTACGAGTTGAAGCGTTTGTTTGAACAGTTTGCAGGAGGCAGGTACTTGCTTTCAAGCAGAACACGGGGATCAGTGGGGTCACTGCTGATGTATTTAATGTCGTAGAACAAAACGTGATCCGTCTCTTCAATGTGTGTCAACCACAGACCTTATTTCCAGCTATTTTCCAAAATCCTATGGAGAAATTGCATTGCTTTTTTGTCGAAGGAACCGGAAGTGGTAAAATGCTAACTTACTTCCGGATTTTAGGACGCATCACTGTGGCACTCTATTTCTAAACACTACAAATCCCAGCTATACAAGTAACATAAAAGCAAGACTGTAGAAAGAGAAGAATGTAAACAGATTATATTATTGATGTGAAAAGAGGCGCCTGCTTCCTGATAAGATTAACATGAGAATGATTGTTCGCCTAATTTTCAGAGAGCCACTGTGAGCCAGTTCCAACACAAATAAGGTGCGGAGCCGCTCGTGGAAGTTCAGCAGCAGCGTGCAGGACAAAGACCCAAACTATAAATGGATAAAAACATGAGCCAAATCTCTAAAAATAGGTCCCTGTGGATATTTGGAGAAACATAAACAATGGCTTCCTCGGCAGCTTCCGCAGGGAGGAGCGGCTGCTGCAACGTAAAGGAAATAATCCAAAAGCCCTGGGAACGTACACACTGTGTGATGAGGTCATGATGGAAGTAGACGTAATGGTATATAAATACACATTTTCCCCAAAGAGACAAAGGTAGATTGAATCAAGGTTTTGGGGTTTGTCAAAAGGCTAAACTTTTAACAGGAAGGCACCTTGAAAAATATTTGTTGTGGTTATTATTAGGGATGCCAGCGATTATTCGATTATTCGAATATTCGTTACAGTCTCCATAATCGAAGATTATTTTTAAAATTTCGATTTTATTTATATATATTTTTTATTAATATTAATGTTTTTTCCTGGTTTGGTTTCAACCAAAATATAGACTAATGCTAATAATAGTAATAGTATTAATAATTGTAAATGACCATTGATCACACCACCAGTTTGCTTTACTGTAAACTTGGAGGAAGCCAGCAGCGCAGAGTGCAGCCTGCTGCAGCCTGCTGCAGCCTGCTACACACCGACCCCGCCGCCCCCCCCCTCCCTCTCCGTCACACGTGCGATTGGGGGGGGGGGGGGGGGGGGGGGGCGGTGTGTCGAATAATCGATTAATATTCGCCAGGGCTGTCCGATTTTCGATTTTGATCATGGTCAGTTTCTGGCATCCCTAGTTATTATCCACATGTTTTTTGTTTCTGAAATGCCAGAATGTGACATAAAACAAGTTTAACAGTTTGGCTGTCTAGGTATATAAAAAAAACATGGGATTCAACAGCCAATCAGATTTGGCTCCTCTCTAAATGTCACATGGCGAATAAAGCACCCATCATTTGAATATCTCCACCCTTGGCTTAAAAACTGTCTTAAATATAATTTGTAGGTTTTATATTCAAGAATCATGGGAGTGGTGTTGATATGTGGAGATTATATTATTATATATTTCTATGTTTTATTAACATATCTCCTTTAAAGTTTGCAGTCAAAATTGAATAATAGTTGGATCTCTGAACAAAACGTTGAAATTAAATGACTGTGTTTTCTGGTACCTTGTCTGTATTAATATTGAATTGAATTGAATTAGTAGAATAAATAAAAATGTAAGATAATGTAATGTCAGATTTTATATGTTTGAAGTATTTCTGCCATCCCGCTTCTACTTATTGTGTTTGCTGGTACCTTCTCTGTATCAATTGACTGTTTTAATATTGAATCGAGTTAGTAGAATTAATACAAATGTAAAAAACATGTCTATATTTTTGAAGTATTTCATGATAACAGTCAAAAGGCAGATGGAGCAGTGCCTTTGGGAGTAGACAGGAATCAAAGTGTTGGAGTTTGTCAAAAGGCTAATCTTTTAACAGGAAGGCATCTTGATACATTTTTTAGTGCTTATTATCCACATATGTTTTGTTTCTGAAATGCCTGACTGTGACATAAAACAACCCAGTACGTTTTTTTCGGCTGCCTAGGTATAAAAGAACCATGGGATTCAACAGCCATTCAGATTTGGCTCCTCTCTAAATGTCACATGCCGAATAAAGCACCCATTATTTGAATATCTCCACCCTTGGCTTAAAAATGATCTTACTTGTGGGAAGAGGATGGTTAAAGAGATGCAAAAACATGCTTTAGGATGTTCTTAAACCTCTGCTAAGTGTTTATTTTCATTTGTTTACAGTATTATACTATTATTTCAGCCCTGGAAATAACCTTGTTGAAACCCCTACCTTGAATCCTGAACTATGTGTATGCATGTGTTTATATTTAGATGAGGGTACATTTACATAATATATGTAATATACGTGTATGTGTATAGATAGACGTTCATGGGTGCATACGTAAATGCATATTTTACGCGTGTTGTATACAGATAAACTTTTCTGTTTTTATATGTATTTTGTAGGTTATATTAAGGAATCATGGGAGTGGTGTTGTGTTTATTTTATCTGTAAGTGCTGAAACGATTCTCCTATAAAGTTTGCAGTCAAAATTCCATAATATTTGAGTCTCTGACCAAAACGTTGAGATATAATGACTCTCGGGAGCGCTGTTTCCCCCCGCTTCTACTAATTGTGTTTTCTGGTACCTTGTCTGTATTAATATTGAATTGAAGTAGTAGAATAAATAAAAATGTAAGATCATTTAATGTCAGATTTTATATGTTTGATGTATTTCATGATAACAGTCAGAAGGCAGGTGCAGAGGTGCCTTTGGGAGTAGACGGGTGGGGTTACCTTGGTGAGAGCAGCCACCCTCTGAGCCAGCTCGGCCTCCACCTCCGGCAGAGTCTCAGCTTTACGGAGCGTCTGCTGCAGCTTCTGCTCCGCCAGCTCCAGCTTCTCCTGCAGCTGCCGGTTCCTGTCCTCCGTCTGCAACAAACAAACAAACAAACAAAGTCATTATTAGCAAACACGGAGAAGACTGTGCTGCATCCTGGCCTCAGGGTTTGCTTCAAAGGTCACCTATTATGCAAAATCCCCTTCTTCATGTCTCTTCTACATCAACATGTGTCCCCTCTGTGGAAAGAGACTCTGAAAGTTTCAGGAACAAAGATTCTCTCACTTTTTGTCCTGATCCATTTCTATAAAAACCTGTCTGAAAATGAGCTGATCAGATTTTGGCCACTTTATGATGTCATAACGATGTGTTGGCTTGTGTAACCATTAGCCAATCAGCAACCAAGGTAACCCCCCCCCCCACCTTATCACCTGAATCTCCTCCTAGAGCACCATTGTGTTCTTTGTAACCAAATGTCTCTCAGAGGGGCGTGGGGAGGGGCTCCTTATTTTCATCTAAAGTAACAGACAGAGAATCAGCACTTTTGAAACAGGGCTGAAACAGAGGGGATTATGGGATGCTGCAATTATCTGTTTGGTGTTTGGAGCCAAACACTTCAGAGACATGTTTTGTATATATCTGAGACCTGTAATATATTGATGAAAAACAGCATAATAGGGGACCTTTAAGGTGGAGAGAGTGGAGAGGAATAATACTGTAGAGAGAGGGAGACAAAGGGGGATGGGTGGGCAGGAAGTGTGGAGGAGAGCATTCATAACGACACAAAGACGGACGAAACGCAGAAGAAAGGAGGAGAGAGACGTCTCCATCTCAGTGAGTTCATGTAAAGAAACAGTCAGGGTGTTTGAGGCGTCCCATTCACTGCCTGCTGCGCCGTCACTGTGTGAAAACAGCAGCAGGAAGTCATTAGCAGAAAACTGAAAACTGACAGGAGAGCTGCAGGCCAACTCTGACACTCTAACACTAAAGTCAGCATCAAGTGTAAATCAGATTACAATGTGTTGATGTGTGCAGATTATGGCATATTGTGTTATTAATTTTGGGTCAACATTGAGACACTGACTATTAACCATAATTATGTTTTACGCATGAAAAAAGGTATAGAATCAATCTCATTATGGGTTAAACTTAATAAATAAAAAAAAACACTGCCTTAATTGTAACACTGTATAATGTATCATTGTATAATTGTAACACTGTATAATTGTAACACTGCATAATGTATCATTGTATAATTGTAACACTGCATAATGTATCATTGTATAATTGTAACACTGTATAATTGTAACACTGCATAATGTATCATTGTATAATTGTAACACTGCATAATGTATCATTGTATAATTGTAACACTGTATAATTGTAACACTGTATAATTGTAACACTGCATAATGTATCATTGTATAATTGTAACACTGTATGATTGTAACACTGTATAATTGTAACACTGTATGATTGTAACACTGTATGATTGTAACACTGCATAATTGTAACACTGTATAATTGTAACACTGTATAATTGTAACACTGTATAATTGTAACACTGCATAATGTATCATTGTATAATTGTAACACTGTATGATTGTAACACTGTATAATTGTAACACTGTATAATTGTAACACTGTATGATTGTAACACTGTATGATTGTAACACTGTATAATTGTAACACTGTATGATTGTAACACTGTATGATTGTAACACTGTATAATTGTAACACTGTATAATTGTAACACTGTATGATTGTAACACTGTATAATTGTAACACTGTATGATTGTAACACTGTATGATTGTAACACTGTATGATTGTAACACTGTATGATTGTAACACTGTATGATTGTAACACTGTATGATTGTAACACTGTATGATTGTAACACTGTATGATGTAACTGTATGATTGCAGAGAGAGCACGCTCGTGAACTATTAGCGCCGGTGTTATGCCGTGTTATGCATGCACCTCGCGGACATTTCAATGATTTGTACGGCAAAGTATGGTTTGTAACCGATATCATCTCCTTTTTATGCATAACACGGCATAACACAGGAGCCTCGCTGCGGGGAAACATTGGCGCTGTTCCGAGTTTGATCTAATCTGTCAAAATTACGGACTGCTTTCAGATTTTTCCGTCATTGTTAAAAAATTCCGTCATAGGCGGAAAATATTCGGTTAACGCGACCTCTGGTTGTCACACTCAATGGTTTTTTAAAAGTTTTATTCTAGGAGTGAGGGGTCTACCTGTCTGAAGAGCGAATCCTTGTTGGCCACTTCGTTCTCCAGCTTGTCGTTGAGGTCGTGGACGGAGGTGGCTTCGCGCTGAGCCGCCAGGTAGCGTTTCTCCAGGGTGGTGATCCGCTCCTCCATGTCATCCTTCTGAGCCATGGACTACACACACACAAACACATTTACATTAGTGTAAAGCAGCAGAAGTGTTTAATACTATGTAGAGAAACAGCTCAATAGCATATTAAACACTTATGTTGTTGTTTTATTGCCTGTCCTTGTTTGTCTACCCTTCCCCAAATGTAAAGCATCTTTGGGTTTGAGAAAAGCGCTATCTAAATACAATTTATTATTATTCACATACAGTCCACATATTTAAATATTATTACAATTAACAGTCGTTATTTCCACTGTGCATTGTCTGATTTTACATTCTATTGACATGTATATAGTTTACTTATTCCATCATTTTACTTACTAATTTGCACTATTCAAGATAACTTTTTTAATTGATGTCTTAAATATATTGTTTGTTGCACTGTAGGAGGAGCCGGGGACTTCAGATTGTAATGACAACAAAGGTAGCTGTTGTGTAGATAACAAGAAAGCCTTGATTCCTTGAGAATTTCGTTTGAAAGTCAATGATGGGGAGAATACAAAACAGCATTATACTGCAGTGTACATTTAACTGATTATATCTTTGTTCTTCTTGTCAATTCAAGAAGAACGCCCAACAACAAAATGATAAATCCCATTACCTGACAAAATACATATAAGTAAAAAAATCTACTTTGCAGTTATAGTTTGTCTTGTATTTATGTTTAGTTTAATCCTCTTCATCCCCTGTGGGACAAACAGTAAGGCCAGAATGAGATCTAGCTCAAGTTGCACCGCTTTGTTCACATATCTTCATACACTAGGTTATATAATAAAATGACAGAGGCAATCAAATATGTGTGTTACATGCATGCTGACAAACACAATATCCTGCATGAGTTCAGTGTGATTTTGGGATAACATTCCTTAAAATCATTCGTTTTTCATATTTATTTCAAAAATGATGCCGTATGAATTGGGTACAATTTTACAACAATTCCTGTATCAAAAGAAAAAGTAAAAACTGAAGTTTGTTTTTTTGTACTTCCACATCATTTTACCACATAATTATTATATTTCTAATATTGAAAGTAATTTAGCTTCGACTTAATTGCACTCCCACTTTGTTTTGATGATTATATCTTATTGGGCGACTCTTTAAAAGCATAAAGACAACGGACTCACATTTATTGAACTAACATTTTCACCTGCCACTAAAAACATGGAAAAACTAAAACATATTCAATGTAATAAATCAAACTCACCTCTCTCAGGTCTCTCTGCAGCCGCGTGTTCACGTCTTCGGACTTGATGACGTCTTTTCGGGCCGTGTCCAGGTCCTCCTCCAGCTCGTTGATGCGTGAAACCATGGCAACCATGCGTTCCTTCATCTGGCCCAGATCAGCGGTCTGACGGTCGACGACATCCTGCAGCTCCCCGACCTTCATGAAGCCGTGACCCGACTCCTCGTCCTGACTCAGGGAGCCGTCTGACGACCGCTGGGGAGGAAGTACCAACAAACTATTTCAGCAGAAGATCATTCGGTATAAAAAAGAGCCGTTTCACCGAGGGCCTTCTTTGGAAATCTAATAAGGAGATGCAAGAAATCAGGAACGATGATCCTGAAACGAAGATTTGAAATAGGGGGGCCCGGCACGAACAGTTTTATAGCCTTTATTTAAATCATTGGTGTCTTAAAAGTTTATGTTTTTGTTTTGTTTGTTTATTTGTCAACAACAAATGTATTTCTTTAAGAAAAAATGAAATATATATATGTTAATAATTTAGTTTTTGGGAGAAGGGTAAACTTCTTTCCACACCTTTTCGGATGTGTAATTAAGTAGATCATTTGTTTATACATAACTTAGAATCAGTAATATTTTTGTATATCAATTTGACACTGCTTAATTTTGTATTGAATAATAATTCTCATGTATTATTGTTTTACACATTCGAAATAAATCTAATCAAATCAAAATCAAATCAAAAGTTGTACAATGCGTTTAAAGATGAGTTATTTTCTCCATTCATTTGACTGAGCCGAGAGCAGGAGATTGAAGGCGTGGCTTAAGGTAAACTAAACATGGAGAAGCAGCGTTCAGTTATTATGCTCCAAATATCTGGAACAAACTCCCAGAAACCTGCCGGTCCGCTGCAACTCTGACTACTTTTAAATCCAGGCTGAAGACTTTTATTGTTGCCGCTGCTTTCAATTGAGACATTCCCATCTCACACGGCACTGTAACTTTTATTCATGCACCTGTGTTATTCATGTTTTACTATCTTTGCTTTTAAATGCATGTTGTAAAATGCCATTTTATAATATGTTTCTACTGCACCATTTCTTAGATGCTCTTAATGTCTTTCATTTTTGTAAAGCACTTTGAATTGCCTTGTGTTGAAAGGTGCTATAACTAAACTCGCATGCTCTTTTGGCCCAGATGCAGGTACTTTTCCTCTCTACGAGTCAGGCTAATTTGGCTTCACGCGCCACTGAGAAACTTTCATAGGATTGAACATATCCTGCATCGAACACTGAATCCAGGACACTTTATACATCCATGGCCTCGCCTCCATCCTGGTTTACTTTCCTGTGTATTGCAGTGCGGTGAGCTCACCTTGCCGTTGGTGCTCGGCGTGTTTTCTGAGTTGTGGTTGACCTCGCTGGTCCCGTCTGCCAGCCCTCTCTTCTGGCTGCTCTGCTCCCTGAGGTACGCCAACTACACAAAAACATCAACATCTGTTAACACCGTTCAGTCACTCAGTTACAAATCTCTGGTTGACCAAGTCAGGAGTTTATAAACAGATAAAACACATTGCAACAGATAGTCAATTACATCTTACAGAATAAAATCCAGGGTTAGACTGTCATGCATTAAGACCACATTGAGGAATCCTTTTAAAAGGGTGTCATATTCAGATTGATATTCTGTACACACTGTTAAGTCCCCTGAGACAAATGAAAAATGTTTAATATTGGACTATATAAATTAACTTTGAAATAATTTGCAATGCTGTTATTTCTAATCTAAACAAGTACTGTGTGTGTGTGTGTGTGTGTGTGTGTGTGTGTGTGTGTGTGTGTGTGTGTGTGTGTGTGAGAACATATGACACTTAGAAGCGTGGCTAGCAGTATTCAGTATAGCAGTATACACCTGCTAAATATAAGGCTACACATGTTAATATGTTTATGTTTACAAGTAAGTATGTATGTATGTATGCATTTGAACAAGTGTGTATGAATGTGTGTGCATTTATTTTTATTTACCTCAGGAATCCTGTAACTTCTTTCTTGGTTATAAACAATAATAATAATATTTATGTATTTTCTCTGATTGCACAAAAGTAATAATATGATTTTGATAAATGCAGATCCTACTGTTTTGATTGCATGCAAAAAGCACACTTTCTTACGTTTCGTTGCATACGCATATGACAGTTCACAAAAATGCTTACAGTATCACCATTCAGTAAATCGTAACCCATGTATTGTGATATATATATATATATATATAGTGATATATATATCGTATCACAGTAGGAAAATAGAGCAGGAGAAAGCTGCCTAGCCTCAGGAAATAAGGTTACTAATAAAAGCTGAGTGGCAAGTGGTTGGTTATATATGTGTGTGTGTACGTGAGTGTGTATGTGAGTGTGTGTGTGTGTGTGTACGTGAGTGTGTGTACGTGAGTGTGTGTGTGTGTGTGTGTGTACGTGAGTGTGAGTGTGAGTGTGAGTGTGAGTGTGAGTGTGAGTGTGAGTGTGAGTGTGAGTGTGAGTGTGAGTGTGAGTGTGAGTGTGTGTGTGAGTGTGTGTGTGTGTATGTGTGTGGTCCAAGGCAGATTACCAGGAACAAAAGATGACCGAAGCATGAAGCAGAGAGGAAATCTAGGACACTTCCCAAAGATCCTCTGGGCCTTTTGTCAATCTCGATCCCATTCAACACACAGCACTAAAAAGCTCTCTGCATTCATGAACACATGTGTGTACGTCAGAGCTGGGAGTCTCTTCCTGAGATATATACAGTGAACACTCCAGATGTATTCAGTACAGCAGAGACTTCTGAAGCAGGTCAAATGTGCACAAATCCATGTGATAAAATACACATTGCATCTGAGTCAAGTGTTTTATGCAAGCATCTCCTGGTGTGTAAAAGTCTCTTAATGTAATATATGATAACAGCTGATCTAGACTTGTGCTTGTCAACAATTTCTTTATTGAGGTTCTGAATAACAGAATTAACAGAAAAATTAAAAAGTAGAAATGTTTTCATTATGTATCATGTGCCATAAGGTTTAGTCCCTGTAATCCACCAACTTTACATTAATGTCAAGATCAACAACCTAAAAAAAACCTCTTAAAATCAGTGTATTCACATCATTTGACTTGTCCTTTAAATATTGAAATCTAACAATAACTGCAGTTAAAAATAGATAATATATAGGGGGCTGCCAAGACAAAGCACAACTGCTGTTTCAGTGACGTATTCTTGTAGTTCAACACATTACGAGGGATACATTTGCGACATTTAAGCCTACATGTATCACTCACAAGTTGAAAAGCTGAGACTAAACCGTTTTAGAAGGTTAGGTGATTTTAATTTAGGCTGTTAAGTTGTTCTAGCGAATATGTTTTCATCACATGAATGCAGTGTATTATAGATATTTGGAAAAGTCTCTATTGGTATGGAGTTGGGGTACCTATTGAATAGCTATTTCCATTATAAGTGTGCTTACTTCTTTGTGTGACATGGTGAGCTGCTCCTCCAATGCGCTGCATCTTTCCAGAGCAACACGTAGTCGCTCCCTCACCTACAAAACACGTGAAAGAAAAGATGAAAAAAAAACCTGCAAAACTCCAAATATATTTATGTAGCTTCCATTCTGTTTCCTTTCAATGTCCAACATATGTAACACACGTGTACACACACACCTTTCATTCATTAAAACACAGACACACAGTGGTACCTTCTCATCGAGGGCTTTGTGGTGTTCAAAAAGTGACTTGAGGGCTTTGAGGACTTCCACTTCACTGGAGACTCCTGCAGGAGACTGAGCCTGCCTCTTCACCACCGTCATCCTCAGGCTGCGCTCGTGCCGAGACACCAGGCACTCCAGGTGCTCCAGCAGCAGCTGATCACACCACAGAGGAGAACAGGGGAGAAAACATCACATCAAAATCCATTGCTCAAATGCAGAAGCATAGAAACCTGTCCTACGTATATAAATAACTACAGGTGAGGAAGGACATTAACTCTTAGATGCAACACTACTGAAATGTCTTGATGCAGAAAAGGTAATCATTATTAAGTTAAAAGCCAAAACTTGACACTATGATCACCACTTTTATAGAAATAGTTCATTTAGAGAGTAGCAGAGAAGTAATTATATGGGTACCTTTGCATGGTGAATCGTAATGAACGTAAACACGTGCTCGGTTTTGTATTTTAGGCTAGGCTTAATCATTATTTTAAATATGGAGGATAACAAATACTTTGTTTTTAACGCTCTAAGTTGTCACACAAAGGGGAACAAATAAATCGTGTTCAGTAATTTAACATTTTGTTGCGTCAAGAAGCACCAATAGGTGTTATAATTGCATGGTAGCCCCTCAAGATGAATCACTTTACACTAATTGTTTATCCGCCACCAGCATAAAGCTTTGGTGAACCTGTAATGAGTTTATTGCTCTTGTATATTTATTTAATTGATATGTCTTTTCTACTGTGGATATGTACAGTATATATTTCCTATATGTTTATTTGTTATTTAATTATATTTATTTGTATTGTATCTTTAAATGTTTTTAACTCATGTGTAATGCTTGATAACATTACTGCTGTTTCCCATTTGTTAACATAAGTTTCATCACCTTGCCTTTCGTTTTCCTCGAGTCCACTGCTCAATATTGTTTACAACATACAGTTGTGATGTCGAATATTAAAAAGGACAAACTTTAATGCAACAAGTACGCAAGAGAAAACGCTTCCCAGTCAGAGACAGTAGGGACTAACACACTCGTTTTGACTCTGGTATGGTGATGTAGTCTGATGTGATTGAAACGTCACTAAGGTAAAATAAAATCCCAAAATCCCACAGCTCAGCTCGCAAACAATAAAATAAGTCAAACATTTGTGAAATAAATTAACACAATTATTTTGCAATAGATGATGAACAGTGGAGCCCTGCAGTGTGTGGGATCTTAAGAAACCTCCTTTTGAGAGCACACAGCTGCATGTGATGACATTTAATGTCAGTTGTTGGAATATTTGGATGATTGAGCAATTTGCCACGCCCCAAACTCGGGACAATGGGTTGTTTTATAGGATATAATTATAGGATTTGTCAACCAGTGTTATGACAACATCCATTCCCAAAACAGACACATGGAGGAATTCAACCGATACGACAGGAGTACGCAGGCGATGTGTAACACTTGTTAGATAATGCAATGTGTGTGTGTGTGTGCGTGTGTGTGTGTGTGTGTGTGTATACTAACCCGTGTGTTGTTTCTCTCCGCCTTCAGCTCAGCAATCTCCTCCTCCTTCTCCAGAAGGTGCTCTCGGCATATGTTCACCTCCTTTGTTAGTGCAGCAAACTCCTAGAATAGAAATATACAAATACAGAAACATGTAAGCACTTCTTAGTGAGCGCAGATTTGGTTTTCCGAAGACGCCGTGATAGAGAAAAATAAAAAAAGGTGGATAATACTGAGGCTGGGAGCTTGTATATTTTTTACAGGTCTCAATCGATCAAAAAATGTAATTGCGTTAATCACAATTATAATTGAGTTTAAAAGAGTATTTTTCCATTGTTTAGGGGGAAATAGAACAAATACACGTGTGGTGTTGTAATAAAGAAATGCATGACAAACTGATAGGCTAAATCAGAGGTTTTTTTACTTTATTATAACTTGATTCCTGAATTATTGCCACGAAGTCCAACGATTTACCGACACTTTGCTAAAGCATCGATAAGGCTGGTGTCACAGGGAGCCGCTGTGAATCCCCTCCGTATAATATGAGCTCCACAGGGCATATCATCTCTGCTGCTATCATACTGCGAGCACTATCTGTTCCTCCAGTGGTGACCCTGTTAACTAACTCCTGTAATGATGTTATATTTAACATATAAATAATAATATTCTGTAAGCCTTACATGTCAAGAGACAGAAGATCTCAGCACTCGGGAAGGTGATCAGTCACAAGGTGCCATGAAACCACACAGTTTGTGATCAGTGGTCTATTGTACTCTGATCGGGTCATGGGTCAGTAATCTCTAGACTAAGCATGTATTTGTGTAACTGTATAAAAGCTCTCTCTTCAGTTTGAGTAGTTGCACTCGGCTGTGGAGACATTGCTCTTCATGTTGTTTGCCTCGCAAAAGATTAAAGGACCAGAAAGACATCTCTTTGACTAGTTCATATCAAGAATTTCCACCACACTCCCACTGTGCAATTCCAGTCAGTTTACGGGTTCACTTTAAGAAGTTGGGGTTATATTTTGTAATGTGATTCATTTCACGTCATCTTTTTAGCGCGCCAAGGTTTACACATTTATCGTGAGCGTTAAATAGGCCCTATTATGCTTTTTGGGGTTGTTCCTTTCCCGTTGTGTGTTATATAGGTTTTTGTGCATGTTAATGGTCTACAAAGGCTCCACACACTCCCCCCACCCCAACTAAATGCCCAGCAGCACGACACAACTCCTAACAGCTTAATCTGACCCGAGGAGCTCCTGCACCTCACGCTACAGGTCGTTACTTTCCACCTCTAATCCCATCCTTGGGGCTTAAAATAGAAGACATTTTTAGCAATATGACATGATAAATATAGCAAGGTAAGCCAACAAATATGAGAGGGCCCTGACGGCTTTTTGTTGTTATATTTTTCATTAGTTTTACCAAAATAACTTGATTTAATTGTATTTAAAATAACATTTCCAAAGAAATAAATCCTTCGAATCTGCCTGTTCAGTTTCTGTTTGAATGTGAAGGGTTAAATGAAAGAAGCTCCTTGAGCCGTCTCTGCGAGTTACTGTGAAGACAGGAGCTGATTGGTGGTCCAGCTATGAATTCACAGAGGGCCCGCTATAGTAACTATAGAGTAATGTCAAATGACAGTACAATAGACCAATCATATCTTCCCTCTAAATGGGTGGGCTTTATTATTGCGGACTTTATGACAAGTTCCGCCGGCTGTGAAGTTGATGTGTGCAGTGACGCGTCCTAAAACCCGGAAGTAAGCTGCATGGGTTCCCTCGACAAAAAAGCAATGGGGTTTCTCCATAGGGTTTTGGAAAATAGCTCGAAATAAGATCTGTGGAAAACGAACCTGTTTGATAAATGCACGTTTTGTTCAGCCGGATAATATCCACATGTCTACCCTACTTTTATCATTTTCGAATCATGAATCTAATCGATAGATTTATGATCGATAGATTTATGATTAGCATAAGTTCGTTCATGATGGCTCATGTCAGTGATAGTGATGACATCGTTGCGAAATTATTAACCGAATTATTTTCAAGATTGAGTTACAATGATAAACTGGAGTGGCAAAGGATCAGCTGCATGACCCCGCCATCAAGTGCTTCATCCAAAAGGACAGGAGGATGGACTTTGTGTTTAAGTGATTTGATCATCGAAGGTAGGCCTACGGCAGAGGGCCTAGGTATAAAAGTCACGGCTCGCCACTGGTCAACACAGGATCATTAGGCTGGGAAGCAGAAGGTGCAGAAAGAGCATTTTCTTCATTCACATACTTATATCCTGCTTGTGTAAACAGTCACTTCATCTCCTACATCGCTGTGTGAGTGGATCCTGCGATGATCACACAATAAATGGCCGTGCACATTCCTCTCTCTGCATGCCATCCACAAAATGGATCTGTATCAATTATCAACAATCCAAACTCATTGATGCAAAGCGAAAACATCAACAATTACTTAAGATAAGCTTTTACTTAGAAATTCCCATGGCATGTCTGCGTCACAACAAGCGCACCACTTTTCTTAACATTCGAAAAGTGCTTAAACCCAAGACATCTACTACTTTGTAGACAAAAATAGATCAAAGTGGTATTTTTTTTATTTGAAAATAATAGATTGCTTTGGATTTTAATACCAGGAAAAGAACAGTAATAATAATAATAATGGGTTCCATTTATAAAGCACTTCATATTCGAATTCAAATCCCGAAGTGCTACAGGCAGTGAGCAGGAACAGTATAAATAGACATGACACAACACGGTAGAATTAATAAAAAAGCAATACAAAATAAATAAATAAAAATAAAGATAAAAGGGTGGTAAAAGGGGCTAGGCAAAGGCTCTTTTGAAAAGATGGGTTTTGAGGCCTTTTTTAAAAGCCTCCACGCTCTGTGGTGCTCTCATGTGGTCGGGGAGAGCGTTCCACAGACTGGGGGCAGCCGAGCAGAAGGCCCGGTCTCCCATGGTACGGAGCTTAGTCCTGGGGGGTTTGAGCAGGTAGGAGTTGCTGGAGCGGGTATATAATTAGCAGTAATATAATTGTCAAATAATTGTATAGTTCCCTTTTTCTTAGTTGATATAAATGCAACTACTGTGTTAAATGGCCATCTGATATTGATTTAATATAAAAACCATATTGTGGTGGACTTGAAAATATAGCATCATGGTTTAAAGAATAACATATTGTGAAGAAACTTGTGATCTACATCATCAGAAACATATTGAGGCAAGTTTTAGCTTATTCTCTTAGAGACTCTTTATTCCTTTCCAATAGTATAACACATAAAGAAACAGTCATGATGTCAAATGGTAAAAGAGGAATGAACCAAAGTGAAAGACTTATCCAAAAACCTCTGATCGCGTGAGAACTATGACAATAAGATTTACTGTGCAGACTTATTGTGAAGTACCTCATATCTATCTTCACACACACACACACACACACACACACACACACACACACACACACACACACACACACCACACACACACACACACACACACACACACACACACACACACACACACACACACCACACACACACACACACACACACACACACACACACACACACACACACACACACACACACACACACCACACACACACACACACACACACACACACAACACACACAACACACAGACACACACACACACACACACACGACACACACACACACACACACACACACACACACACACACACACATACACACACACACACACACACACACACACACACACACACACACACACACACACACACACACACACACACACACACACACACACACACACACACACACACACACACACACACACACACACACACTTTTAGAGATTACATGCATGGTTGGACCTAAAGAATGTGCCATCCTGATTTTGTTGCCCTGCAGAAGCTAGCACAGGCGCGCTGAGTTGCGAGGCCTTCTTGCTATATTTCCTACGGCTGGGAGTGTGTGTGTGTGTGTACGAGAGAGTGAGTGTGTGTGTGAGTCTGTAGGGGCTGGGGCTGGGGAAGGGGGGGTTTGGAGCTGGAACTGATCGCTCTTTTCAGTCACTACCACAACTATTCTCCTGCCTTCACTGCAGCCTTGGAGCGTTTGCAGAGCCTGGCACAGACTCAGCTTCCCTGAAATGAGTCAGTGGGAGTTTCCTATTGGCTAGGACCAACGCCTCTGCTCTCTGCTAGCCAATGAGAGAGCAGCAGAGGCGGGCTCTGGGGTAATTACAGAGCGGCTTACTTCCTACATTCCTGAGCAGAGGCTGAGCTTGAGCTCTGCAGCAACCTTAAGATTTTCTTTTGCTTTTGAACGCCCTCTTTTTTCCTCCCTATTATTTACACTAAATATCATACATTGTAGACAAATGGGAGTGTTTTTGTACTTGTTTGTAGATTGAACATTTGAAGTGCGGTTACATTAAGTCCAGAACAATCATGCTTCAGAGAAGAACCCACAAGATACTTACTGGCTTATACATTTCAGTATATAGAACCAGTGAAATTAGCAATTAAAAGTGATCAATTATTGAAGATATACGTGTACACTGCAGACTTTGATGTGTTTTTCTAATAAGTTGTATTCAACTTAATGTATATGTGTAATAACTTTGCAAAAGCAAGCAGAAAGACAAAATATGGTCCTTTTCCTCCATGTGGTAAACGGTTAAACAAAATGTTAAACAGGCCCAGACTGGAGCATCTACCCAAAGATCCCCCCCCCCCCCTCTCTCTGTTTAACATGCACGAGCCCACCCACATGCTAAAGAAAGTACTGTGATGACACAGAGTCATTTGGGATATTAGCACTACCATATATGGAAGAGACATGCATAATACAACACAAGGTCGACATGAGACAATCTCTTAATCATGTAACTTGTCATTTGAAAATAAAGTCAAATAAGAGTGTTCTTAATTTCTATCTACATTAGAATCAGGTTTTTTGTCAAGTAAGGAATTTGCTTTTGTGTATATAAGTGCATAAATATACAATGTTTTCCATTTTTAAACCACATTGAAGTTAGGGCCTCATGATTTGTAGAAAAAGACGTACAATTTTTTTTTTACTGATATCGCAAATGCAATATAAGTTGTGAAGTAAGAAGGA